AAGCCATCAAGTTCTTTGAGGAGAGGTTGCCAATTACGGCGGCTTGAGGGGTGATGGCCAACAACCTCACGGATTTCCTCCTCTTCTAAGAGTTCCCGGAATAATCCAACCCTTGTAGCCCTCCCCAAGGCACCATGGTGGTTATCCGATAGTAACCAGGCGCGGAGAAATTTTTTAAATGTGAACTGTTGCTCTCGCCATAGGTATAATGTTTCGCGTAATTTGTCAAATGGCTGAAGCCTTTTTCTTCCTGCAACACGCCGAATCTGCCGATATCTAGTAGGGGATTTGGATCGTCTTGGGGAAGGACGTTTTGGTCGGGGAGTCGAATCTGAAGATGTGGACGAGATAGAGGGCGATGATGATAAATACATCTCATCTGGCGGTATAGAAGATATCTCGTTTGAGAGGAAGGGCGCGGTTGACATGGCAAAAGGTAATATGACGCGCTCCTAGACAGTAGAGTGGTTGGATTGGTCCTCAAACTTGATGAAATGTAGAAGTCAACGCGTAGAATAATTTCTGATAATAGATTAGCGATAGCCCTTTAGTATCAAGTACGCTTAGCGATGGGAGTTCTCTCACCTATATCATGATATGATCCTCTACGCATACATACAAACTCTGCAGGAGTCTCTCAGACGGCAGTTGTGCCAACTGCCTTTATGGCATATGATTGGTCAATATTTAGTGGCGCATGCTAAAGAAGAGGCTGGGCTTTATTAGGTATAGCGGAACCCCATATTGGCTAGGGGGCACCATTGCCGGCTGAGTCCCAACTGAGATAACATCAACACACCATGCAGAACATATCAATAGGGCGATAAGGCGATAAGGCACGAAATTAGCGTGATTAGTAATTAGAGCAGTTAGTTATTACTTAATTTTATAATTACGAAAAACACAACTATCCGCGCCCCTGGTTCGTCAGCTGAAGCTTACTCATCCTCAGTTTTGAGGACGCTCCCATAATTATTAGAGTATTAGAGTGATTAGACATTATATCGGCGCACAGACCATCAGCCGTTCCCCAGTCCCCACCATCGAGACCTCACTCAGGCTGTAGTGGACACTGGGGCAGTTCCAGTCTCTAATACCAGACAGACTCTACTTGAACTTCTCTACTAAAAATACCACAGACACTCTCTATCATGCTTATTGATTTCATGGAATGTCTGTCTAAGTGCTAAAGAAGGCTGAGGCACCATGGCGATAAGCCAGAAAGACGATGGTATGCTTCTCGGTCTGGATGCCGTTGCTTCAACCGCCGGATTCTCAAGTGTTCTGAACTGCGAGCCACTAACTGAGCATAGGCAAGCGAAAGGCGGATGATGTAGACATTTTAGATGCCCCAAGTCCATCGAAGAGACTGCGATCATCGCCCAGCGAAGACCTTCCCGATGGACAGCCGATCGATCCCCCGCCACCCAAGCCGGTCCCATTCCCCGAAAAGGTACGAGATGCTTAGCTTGACTAGAGCATGAAGGTCGGGGTACTGACAATGTCCATAGCCGGCTGTCATCGAAGAACGGAATGGCGATATCGAATTTCGCGTTGTCAACAACGACAACACCCGCGAAAGCAGTATCATCATGACCGGCCTCAAATGCATCTTCCAGAAACAGCTTCCCAAGATGCCGAAAGACTACATCGCGCGGCTTGTATACGACCGAACGCATGTATCCATGGCGATTGTAAAGAAGCCACTGGAAGTCGTAGGGGGCATCACATACCGGCCCTTCAAAGGGCGGCAGTTCGCCGAAATCGTCTTCTGCGCCATCTCCACCGACCAACAAGTGAAAGGCTACGGCGCGCACCTGATGTCTCATCTCAAAGACTACGTCAAGGCGACCTCGGACGTCATGCACTTCCTCACCTACGCCGACAACTACGCCATCGGCTACTTCAAGAAACAAGGCTTCACCAAAGAAATTACCCTCGAGAAGCCTCGCTGGATGGGCTACATCAAAGACTATGAAGGCGGCACCATCATGCAATGCTCTATGGTCCCGAAGATCCGGTACCTCGAATCCGGGCGCATGCTTCTCAAGCAGAAGGAATGCGTCAGCGCGAAGATCCGCGCCCTCTCCAAGTCCCACCACATCCACCTGCCGCCGAAAGAATGGAAAAACGGCGTCAAGTCGATCGACCCGCAGTCAATCCCGGCCATCAAGGAGTCCGGCTGGTCGGAAGACATGGACGCGCTGGCCCGCGCGCCGCGGCACGGGCCGAACTATAACATGCTGCTGCACCTGCTGAACGACATGGTGAACAACACGCATAGCTGGCCGTTCCAACAGCCCGTCAACAAGGACGACGTGGCGGACTACTACGAGGTGATCAAGGAGCCGATGGACCTGGCGACCATGGAGGAGAAGCACGAGAAGGATATGTATCCGAACCCGGACGACTTCATCAAGGACTCGAAGTTGATCTTCGACAATTGTCGGAAGTATAATAACGAGAGCACACCGTATGCGAAGGCGGCGACGCGGCTGGAGAAGTTCATGTGGCAGAAGATCAAGGAAGTGCCGGAGTGGTCGGTAAGTTCTCGGATTTCGGCCCGCTAGGAGACATGCTCTGCTAACCATGATGCAGCATCTTGAACCGGAGCAATTCAAATGACCGAGGGGTGTCGAATTTGGGTCGTGTTCATGCCAATGGTTGCCGTTCAGACTCGGGCGTGAAATTCGCGTCATCTTGGCATGTATGGATAAAGTGCGACATGGCTTGGAGTTTGGTTGATAATGATACCCACGCACGGATGTAGGTTAGGTCGAGCACTTCATGAAGAAAAAATGGTAGCACTTCATGCAATAGTCTGCAATTCAAGCGTTGCGCTTGAATGGACTCTGTTTTCTCTTGGAACTGATATATCCATTGGTATCGTGTTGGCCGCATTGACCCATCGTTTTGCATGTAAAATCAACCGTGCCTTGCGCATCACATTCTAGTTGGCCCCGGAAACGTTCCCGAGCGCCCTTACCTCCATGCAAACGTTCCCTGTGAGTTAACAATGAAAAAAGACTCTCCCATCCTCATCAGACCCTGGGACGGAGCTCGGCATGAACCGCAGCCGCGGAATATTTCATCCATCGTACTGTCGTGCTTGTGCTGGAATCTTGGACCTTGAAACCGATACCTTCATCCTTCGTTTCTACCACTCGAACTCGCCGGTGCCTTTGTGGAAGAGATACCTATCATCCATTAGCAATAGGTTCGTCAGCTGCACGCTTGAGCAAACCCACTCTTTATCATTCGTGGTCAGAATCCCATCTTTGAGAGTGCACTTCCACTTGTTCTTGACGCGTTGAACCTTGTCATACGTGCAAAGGATAACCTCTTTGATCTCTTCTTCCTGCTCCTCCTGGCGTTGAGGATCGTCGTCAGGGTCGTCCAAGTCCGAATTGATCGCATCCTCGTCTTCCTCCTCCCTAAGAACATCATCGCCACCGTCGAACTGCGACGGGCCAGCCTCGCGCGAAGGTCCTGCCCTTGGCGTTCTGGTCTTCGATCGGGCTTTGAGCTTGGCATGGCGGCTACTGGTATACGGGAGGAGAAGTCCATTGTCCATCTGTTCACGTAGCGCCTCGATTTGATCCCGGATCGATGCATCCGCTTCCAACCGGCGATTGTCTAAAGGCTCAGGCAAATCTCCAGGGCCGTCCGTCTGCGCAGAGCCAACGGAGGGATGCTGCTGCTGTGGAGCGGGTTGCGATTGGGCTGGGCGTGGCTGTTGCTGATGTGGGTGCTGTTGTGGCGGTTGGCCCTGCTGTGGCAGTTGACCTTGCTGTGGCTGACCCTGCTGTGGCAGTTGACCCTGCATGCCATTCTGACGGCCCTGAGCCTGACTCATCGCAGCGATGGAAGCATTGGCATGCTGACCATATTCTCTCTGCAGCTGGGCTTGAGCCCGTTGTTGGGCAGTTAAGGCCGCATTGTAGCCATTCGCCTGAGGCCCGGAGGGTGCAGGAGGTTGTGAATCATAGGCTCCTTCTCGCTTAAAGTCGGGGTCCTGCTTGAAAAGTGGTTCTTGTTTCACGGTAGAGCCTTGCTTGAGACGTGAAGGCGTGTCATAGACCACTGAGGTCTGACCAGGATGTTTCCCCTCCTCGGTCTTTAGGTCATGAGCTCTAGCATTAGAAGGGAGGGTAGGAGGGTTTTGAGCTGAGGGAGGAGGATCCCAAGGGAACTGAGCAACCTTGAGGTCGGATAATCTTTGTTGCCATTCCTAAATGTATGAAACACAGATTAGCCATGAACTGATTGCCAGAGCAGGGCACCGATTCGATGTAACATGCAGCCAATCAGTGGGCAATAATATTCTGTGGAAGCCTGGAAGAGCGGATTCGTGCAGAATGTGCAGGGGAAAACAGCTTGGTGTCACAACGGTGCGTCGAGTGAACCGTGCGCGAATGACTGGGAAGGCTCCGGCAATGATAAAAAGACGCCCCAAATAGCGAGCTGCTGCCTCGTCCGTTTCCTCTGAACAATTCCCTGCCCGCACACCCGCCCCTCGTCCGACTCACACGGCTGGCACCGCTCGCTCTCAGTCTTGCCGTTGCTCAACTTACGACTCATCCACCCCGATATCGACCCCAAATAATTCGATTTTGGACTTGGAAATACCCAGAAATTGAGAATGTCGCCACAGGCAGATGAAATGACGGTTTTTGCACATGAAGGGGATGGAAATAGACTGCAGCTTGGCTGGACAGAGAGTACACTTGAGATGTGACTTACCTCTCGCAGCTCTTTGAGAACATCAGCAGGCAGTCCGGCCTCTTCAAAGGCACTCTGGGACTCTGTAATCACCCTGGAGATGATCTCCTGATACGTTTGACCCTACAGGAGAAGAAGTGTGTCAGCGGAGATGCTCAGTTGGCCACTCGATCTTGCAAACGCGGAAGACAGATAGGCCGTCCGATGAGCGGCGTTCAGAACTCACGACTATCTGGTTGGACATGTTTGCGGAGCACTCAGAGGCCTGTTGCTTTCCTTTGCGAGAGTGATGGGTCCAGAGATGGACGTAGTGTGAGAGGTGTTGAGGAGGTGAAGTCGAACGGGGGGGTATACGATGCTCAATGCCAGAGCTACTGCGCTGCTTGATGCCGGACCCTAAATTGCTTGCGCACCGCTATTTGTTCTGCCAAACTATCTTCCAATTCGAGGAGACTCGGTTTCGAAGAGATTGAGGCTGGGGTAAGTCGATGTTGGGTGGGTATGGTGGGCGAGTGTGGGGTGGATGGTGATGTTGTAGAGAGGAAGTTGGCAGGCAGCGGAAGATCCGGGTCCCCTTAAGTCCACGTGTTTGCCTGGTTTGCACCCCACCTCTCCTCAGTGAGGCTCCTCACAACTGTCAACGAACACTGCACATTCTCACTCTTGACAAGAACGAATATATTACCGCAGCCTAACAGAAGTATTAAAATACTTAGATACTTGGAGATCATATTTATGAATATCTTATAGAATTTGAAATGAGTGTACATAGAGTAAGCTCGACTATCAAGACCACACCAACTCCCAATCGTCACTCCATGCGCCTCCTTTTGTCAGCTCCTGTAACCCAGTGACTTTCAAGATATGGCCACGAGAGTCGAACTCCCACAATTTGTCTAACGCCTTTCCGTTCCGCTTCACTTCTCGTGGTGCTTGGGAAACTCCCATGATCGTCACATTCGCAAGAGGATTCCCATCCACAAATTGCCCGTGTGAACGCACCTGAAGCCTGGACCCTCGAGCGTCAAATGTTACCATCAAGCTGCTCTCCGGCTCCAAACTCTCCCCATCGTCGATATACAGCTCTCCATTCGCGAAGCCATCGCTTCCCAACGCCACCAGCAGCGCCCAAGGATTCCTTCGGCACTCATACGTCGTGTATCCTGGCTCCTGCAGCGGCAAGACGTGTCCGCCCCTAACATACACCGGAATGTGTCCCAATGGTGCCGCAATTGAGACATTCGCTCCAGGAGCGACGCTGATGGCGGTCTGGTTGTACCAGTCATACCAGACCTCCCCGTCTCCTGTCCCGGGGAACACGCCCATCACCTCCTTCGCCCCAGCTTCCAACACAGGCGTTATCAAGATCGCGGGGCCTAGCAGGAACTGCCGATCTGCGATTGCTAATGCTGGATACCCTGGGAACTCCCATGATAACGCCCGCATCACTGTCGACCCCGTCGTGTGAGCCTTATGGAACAGGGTGTACAGGTGAGGCAAGAGAGCGTAGCGAATTTTCATGGCAACTCTGGACGCCTCCGCAACTGCAGCCCAGACGTAGGGCTCTTGCGGGGCGGCTGACAGAATGTTGTGGTTGCGGTAGAACGGGAAGAAGGCGGAGAGTTGCATCCAGCGGGAGCAGAGCTCAAGGTCGGCGTTTCCGGAGAAGCCGCAGGTGTCGACGCCGAACATGGGAATGCCGAATAGGGAGAAGGTTAGGGCTTGCGGGATGGAGGCATACATATAGTAGAATTTAGAATACTGCAGTGGTGTTAACAGGGTTCAGGAAGGATTCAAATATGACTTACATTGTCGCCGCCCCAATGACCTGCCCATTTGCCACTTCCAGCAAACGTGGAGCGACCGATGATGAACGGTCGTTTCCCTGGAAGCACCTTCAGAAGCGCCTGATACGTAGCATTGAGGATTTGATGCCCGTATATGCCGTGTACGTCATACTCATGCACACCATCGTTGTGAGTTGCATTTGGGCTAACTCCATGAACTGCGAGATCTCCATTTACATGATTGATCACGTACGGGGGATAATTGATATCTCGTACTCCTGGTATTGGCGTGGTTCGAAGATAAGAAGTCGACGTCGTGTTGCTCGTCGACGAAGTTGTGGCAGCTTGAGAGGATGATGCCGCGGATGCTGAGGCTGCTTCCGTAGCATTCGTGATCTCGAAGCCTTCTGGAAAATCATAGTCGACATTTCTTGGCTCTCCGGGTAATTGAAACGAAGGATGGACAGGATTCAGCGTCATATTTCCTGAGCCACAAGACCCGACACAGAACGACGAGGGTTCGTTCATGTCGATCCACAACCCATCGAATTGCAACTCCTTGTACCAGTCCGCGACTTCCTTAACCCACCAGTCCACTGCATTAGGGGCAAGCCAGTCTGGAAACACTGTATACCCCGGCCATACAGATCCGACGTACTCGGAGCCATCTGGATTCAGCAAGAAGAGTTGGTTCTCATGACCGCGACTGTAGGTATTGTACGCATCATTTTCGTTCTCCGGGTTTGGAATGTAGATCGCCGCATCTACAATGGGGACCCAGTGCTGGTGACCATCATGCAGTTTCTTCAGGAATTCTTGTCCTTCTACCAGAGGAAAGGCGTTCTCGTCATTCGTAAAATCCCGGTACTGATTCATGTAGTCAATATCGAGCCAGACTGTTTCCAGGGGGATATCGAAGCGACGGAAGTTATCCACAACTTCTTGAAGCTGTGTCCAGCTCGTATAGCCCCATCGACACTGGTGGTAACCAAACGAGAAATATTGTTGCATCGCTGGTAGTCCCGTGGTGCTCAGCTGGTATTGCTTTGTGACTTCTGGCTGAGAAGGGCCTGAGTAAAAGTAAAGATTGATAGACCCTCCCAGGGTTCTCCATGTCAGATTTGAGGCGCGGAGGAGCACCTCCTGGCCATGGGCATTTCGAAGGTAGACGCCATGTGAGTACGTGTCATACTTGACTGCGTCGTCCTCAGGTGCTGTTTGCAGGAGTTTCTTGTTGTGCCCATCATCCGAGTAGTACCGTGTATCCAGGTAGAACGGATGTTGGCCGTAGATATTGTAATCCACAGGATCCCCAGAGTCCGCAGAATACATGGTAGCAGTGAAGTTGTTTCCCAGACGCAACTCGTGGATACGCTCTCCAAGCCCATATAAATTGTAATTCTCTGGCAGCGACGTGACGAACTCAATGAATTGGTTCTCGTACACCAAGACCTTACCCCTGGTATCAAAGACGGCGTCACCCGTGGATTTTCGCATGATAGTAAAGGAGAACGACGGGTCATTGCTCCAAGTCAGCTCAAGGTCATTGGATTTGCACGACATCTTTGCGTCCGGATCTGCAGTTGGTCTTGTCACCAAATGATCGGGAAGGATGTAGTGCGAGGCATTTGAATCAACCTGAGCCATACATCAGCATTTCCACTCCCAGGGAGCGCTAACAGTGGATTCGTACAATGTATGCTGGTTGGATGTTCACCGAGATCCTGTCAGCGGACTGACATTCGACTGCAAGACTCAAGACTTCGATATCGGTCCCATAAAGATTACACGGCTCTGCCGCCAATCTCAGCGTCGCCGTAAAGCCCAGTTCCGTATCCTTCACGTCGGAGGCTTTGTAGCCGGGACAGACAGTTTGCGCATCCACAGCCTGAGGGTCAAGGACATTCGGCAACAACAGCATTCCCTCATTGGCAGAAGCTGGAACGGTGAACTGCGTTGACCTGCTGTTGTTAGACTGCGAACACGCATCTGGTATTCAACATAGGGGTTCATACTGTGTGCTCCAAGTAGGTGTTCCCTGTGCATTCGCAACAACCACTGTTAGCAGAACAGCTAAAAGACTCGTTATGGTTGCCATTGACTCCTTCACACCAAAAGTTTCGACTTCATGTCGGGAAACAGGAAATGACTCGACCAAATGCGAAAGACTGGCCTCTTAAAAGTTGAACGCGTGGCATATGCTCCTTACGATAACTGGATCTCCGAATCTCCTTACCATGACGCGCTTCATATGCCGTACTGTAGCACAGACAAGATTCAAAGTAGGGACAACAGCCATGTCGGAAAAAAGGTGGCAAGATCAACCCGGAAAATATCATTGTAGAAGGCATGATAAGGGACTGTGCCTTTATGTCTGCAACTTTACGAAAAACATTTATCCTTCAATAATGGAGATGCTGCCCAGTGGGCCTGACATGCAATGCTAGCTTGGGTTGAATAGAGCGTCACTCACCGACTTCGCCCATTCTCCAACCTGTTTCCCTCCGATTTCAAACCGCACACGCTCTTCAAACATATACGCCCAATGTAGCAGAACAAACACTAAGACAATGGTGGCCACGAGTGTCCTAGTAGGCCACCCTCGGGCCAACCTCCCCAGTCTCCCCATGATGCGAGGCGAGCTTACGATGCATGCGCCTGCTTCTCGTTGGTGCTATGTGTGACAGCTGCAATGGTTTTCATGGGCATTTGGGGGGTTCGTAATCAATCTGCAATACGATCGCTTCATTCCATCAGAAGCTGGTTACATGCGGGGTTGTATGTTGATGACCATTGTGTGGAAGTGAAGTATAGGTGAGAGGAAAGTGGGATGTTGGCAAACATGGACGAGCTCCCTAGCCCCGTGCTGCCATACCATACAACGTGATCCTGAACCACATCCCTTTATATTGCTAGGAAGTGTGTGGCGTTGAACGTGACAATCCGTTTCGCTCATAAATATCCTAGAACACTTCAGACAAAGATAAATACGTGGTCGAGACATTGAAGATATAGATATTTCGTAATATTGATATAAATCTTGAATGGTACGAAGTATCGTAAAGATCGTGAGACGTCCGAGTCGTGAAATAAACGAATGCAAAGTTCGTCGTCCATAAAGCATGGTAATAACAATCCGTTGCAACCTCTTTGGTACAAGAGGAAGCCGGTGAATATGTGCAATACTGTCAAGCAAACATCTCTCATCACCTCCAAGTCAATACACCTAACCAATTCCTCCTGGCAGGCTCTTCCTCGTTTATCGGCGGAAGTGTCCCGTTAACATTGCTCCCGCCAACCGCATCCCTTTTCCTCCTGCCGAACCACCTCCCCAGCCTCCCTTTCTTCTTCCCTTCCTCGTCCGACATTCCCAAGGCGTGTCTCTCGAGCCGGCTCATAGGACGTGGAATGCCCGTGAATCCCTCCCCATCGAAGATCTTCGTGGGAGGGATCGGAGGAAGCGCAGGTCTCCAACCTCCGCCATCCCTCCGCGGTGCTTCCGTCTCCAGCGCCACCTCCTTGAACATCACTTCCATCGGCCGTTTGGATTCCTTCGCCTTCTTTGCTGCATCCAGTACTACCTGGTTCCGCACACCACGTGGCACAGGCGTTCTCCGACTCCGAGAGCTCACCATGCTACTCCTGACACCCATGCCGCCGGCTCCGTCGATGATGAGCGGTACGTCCCACACCTCAACCTCGCGACCTTTCCAGCGGGAAGAGCCGGTGATGGCGGTGAGCGGCTCGAGTGCCTCGTCCCAGTCGCCGGAGGTTAGATGACACGCTTCGAAAGCAAAATCTTCGAGAGACCGTTGGTGGCGTGTGATGAGAGCAGCGAGATGAGATGCTGGGGTGCTAAGGGACTGGAGACTGAGATGGGTGAGGCGAGGGAAGTAGACAGCGGGTAGGGAAGGCGAGGGGCTTAAAGGTGTGGTGTTCGCTGTGGACGGCACTCTGGTAGGGGAGAAAGAACCCCGGGAACCGGAGGAGTTGACGGATGAGGAAGAAGAGGGAGGGGTAGGTGGGAAGTAGGGGTTCGGGCCACGGGAGAACGCAGTGTCGAGGCGCGGTAGAGGAGGCATCTCACGCCTGGTGGAATTTGACCGCTTCGGAGAGGAGTTAGAGATCGAGGAGGACTTGGAGAAGGTCGAAGTTGTAGAGAGAGAAGGGGAGGGGCAGAAATCCACAGGCGGCGTTTGCGGACGCGGCGGTTGACGCGGCGGCGGTGTCGAAGATATTGCGTGCGGTTTTCGCAACCTGGGGGGAGTAGGTGGCGGTAAGGATGACAACGACGGCTTCGGCGATGGTCCATCAACGGACGGCTGTGATTGCAACGCAGGCTCCAGGTCCAACGATAATGGACATGGGCCCTTTCCACCTAACCATTGGAAGTAGAGCTGCTTCACGCGTGGTGAAAAGGCACTAAAAAAGGTGTGAAGAACCCTTAAGTGCTCCAGCCCGTCACCTCTCATATTTGCTGGTGTTGGTTCCACGGAAATGGCGTCCACCGTAAGGCTAAGGTGCTTGATTTGTCTCCAGCACTTCGCCGTTCCTGGAGGAGAACCTAGGCCAAGCATCGGGTGCATGTAAAGAAGGCCCCCGGGATGGATATGGGCAAAGGTCAACCGCGATAGCAGAGGCAGTGACGCGCGTTCAACCGCAATGCGCAATGATATCAGTGCGTAGTCAACAGTGCTGCGCCGATTGCGCTGTCCAACCGTCTGACCAGGGCAATTGACAATTAAATGCGATAATGTCGGCAAAGCCTCAAGAGCGCGAATAAACGAAGGGATGTTGGTAGCGGCATGGAAGAGGGGCGGATACTGTTTGATCAGCATATCCGTCATCTCCCAACTTCCATACTTTGGCAGTTTGACTTTCCCGATGAGAGTTTCCGGCTTGTGTATCTGCGGGGTGTAGACAAAGCTTCTCCCTTCTCCCGTCACGTCGTCAATGAGCGGCGGGAGGAAAGTCTCCTGCAGATGAGGCATATTGAACTTGAAAGTCTTCACATGATGCCCGATCCTTTCAAGGGCCAGGAGTCGCGTCGGCCGCGCGAAAGTACTGGTCTTGAAAGTGATACTGACCTCTTCGAAAAGAATTGGAGCTGCCCGCGCTCCAAAGTCATGGCAAACAAGTCTGAGATTTGGCAACGTCTTCCTGTCGACCTGCGACAAAAAGGAATCCCGACAGTTTTCTTCTGCCCAGAAGCGGTTGAAGAACCGGTCTCTGGAGTCCACCAAGGCGCAGACCGAGCTGTTTGTTCGTGCTACAGATAGCCAGTCAGCAACCAGCCAGACCTCCCTTTTCGAAAGGCACCGCAGTGATTTCGTATAAATGCGCAAATTCAGATGGGACTCAAAAGCCAAAAGCGCTTACATCTTCGACCAGTCGACAATGTAGAACAACTACTAGTATCAATCTCGCCAAACAACAATCGTTTCGCCGATTGCTGACCGGCCGATTCCGCAGACTCCGTGCGACGCAGGGACGGATTTGAGGATTCGCAATTCATTTCATTCGTAAGTCGTAACAACCAAGTCCCTGAGCCTTTACCCAGCAATTGAATTAGAAGAAGCGAAGATTGACGATAGCTAATAACAGTGATTGCTACGATAAACAGCCACGCGCATGGAGGAATCTTGGATATCTAGATCGCAACATCGCAAAACTGGGCATCTCAGGTTCATCAGGCAACTCATTCACCATGCCCGCCATCTTTTCTACCCGTCCGGTGAGGAACGCGGGCGATGGCTGTCGAAAACAACATGTACGATGCAAGTATGACTCAACGGCAACGGCTGGCCAGTGTGGCCGTGAGCCAAAACGCGACCAGGAATCGAAAACAGGATGGTGTTAAACAGCATCGCGACTATGTCGCGGTCGTGCGATTAAGTATCGAGCGTGTTGGACGTGTTCTTTGGTCGGTCAGTGGGAGCAGAGGCGGGGGGATGTGCTGGATGTTTCGAGTGTAGCCGGGGCAGCCAATGGCGGGGAGGTTCGGTGTGGTTGGCTGCAGCACTTGGCAGCCGCTAACGCATGCACTGCGCCGCCGAATCCGTTCTTACAGGGGAGGTCGCGTCTATTGATCAAATCTGTCGCGACAGACGCGTCAGGAACAAGTTAGTCGTGGCGTTGAGATCCCAATTTGGTAGAAAGTGGATGGATAGAGGTCACAATTAGCTATGGTCTGTGTGGAACTTTGTATGGACGTGGCTGATTATTTAAACCTTCGTTTGAAACAATAAATCCCGGCAACCGTCGCTTGGTAACCAGGTTCGCAGCGCGTTTTGCAAATGAAAACAGAGACGAGCGCCGCAACGCGCCTGGATGGAGACTGGAAAAAGTGCGCTCTTGAATGAAGTTTCGATTTTGAAAGGTGAATTTCCTGTCGACTGTCGTAGTGATGGCATTCGTCGCGTCTGCATCGATAATGATACACGAACCGACCCTGTCTCTCATCATGCCCATATCCCCTTTTCCCCATAGAGTGAGGAACGCGTCGAGACTCGATCATCTGACACATATAACTCAAGTGATTAAGAGGCAGGGCCTACGAAACACGTGCGCCATCCAGAGCGAATGTTTCATCGAACCGTAGTCACCCGCCAACCGGATCAACCTAGATGGAGTATCCAAAACTCCATAAACGCATCTCGTCCAAGCAGGTTGCAAGAATGCCCGCCGAAACCGCAAATGCCAGCTAGCCCATTTGTATGATAGATCGCTCAAACGCTCGATCAACATCTCTTCGTCGGAACCCCGGCGCACGACCAAGACAAACAGCACGCATGATCAGTTCTGCGCGCGTGGTTAGCTTTCTTCAATACGAGTATGAAACCTGATACGCGACTCACCATCAACAAACCTAGGAACATCAATCACCACCTTCCGCCTGACTGCACGATCCTTTCCTGTGCCAGCAAAAGCAGAATCGCCGACCCTCGGCAACGGCATCCGAATGGCCGGAGGTGATGGTGTGCCTGCTGACGTGCCCGCTGACACACTGCTCCCACTTTTGGATATCGAGGATTCTTCGTACAGACTGAAGTCGTCGAACCATGCATTAGATATTTTCTCCGACGTGTCGATATCAATGTTGGAGAACGATCCGAGGGAGGGGACACCAGCGGCGAGGTCGCCGAATTCCAGATTAGAATTATCCATCACATCGCCAAGGAGACCTATCTGCGGATCGAAGCCAAGGTCGGTAGAGGGCGGGGTGAATGAAGATGACTTCAATTCTGGAGCTCCTGTTATCGTCGGCTGTGATAGAAGGTCCATCTGTGCTCCTTTTGTTAAAAATGTGGGCGGGGGCGACTCGTTTGGTGAGAAATAGTCCATCCCTTGATCTGCACTCGACCCTAAGTTCATTGATGCGTTACGCAGACAGGATCGGCCAACAGTGAGGTCTTCCTCATCAGTCGGCATGCTGACCAAGAATCCATCACCAGTGCCAGTCAAGCCATCAATATCCACGTATTCCGCTTCTGCAAAGCTAGCGCGAGGTTGAATGAAGATCCCTTTCTCCTCGAGATAACCTTGGACATCGTTGGAATCGAACCATTCGCCATCAAAGCCTTCGAGATCAAGATCGATCCCAGCGTCTCCAGCCCCTTGGCCGCTTTCCAATCTTGCTCTTCCGATCTTTGATCTCATAGGTCCTATGCTCCGCACTTGCCAACTGTTTTTTGGCCCTATGAGAGCGCCTGTCTCGTCCCGTCGGGGATAATGAGTGCCAGCACCACCAAGATGAATGAAAGGCGTTTGCCAAAATTCCAGAGATGCGGTCGGCTCTCGCAGAAGTATAGACCGAAATTTGAGGAAGATTTGTTCGGGTGTATTATAAAGTAAAGAGAGTTTGAAGACATGTTTGAAAAGCGTGGTACGAACATCGGCGTTGGCAAGAAGTTGGTACCCTGACTCTATAGCAGCACGATGTAGGCGGCGAGCGAATGTGGTCTCATTGAAGGAGAATGTAAGAGGCTGTGGTACGGATACTGTCTTATGCCACGCATCAAGGGCCATTCCAAGCGGTGAACCTGGGGGAGATGGCATGAATGCGTGATATTGGGTGAGATTGTAATTGTTACTCGTGGTGATTGATGCATCGTTGCTTTGAACGAAGTTTTGATCGGGGGATCCTGTCAACGGGAAGGCATCATGCGACTCCAGGTTAGATGGACGAGGGGAGGACGAAGCATCATAAAATGTCTTCGTATATCCCATGCCGATGTCCACGGTACGCTGTTTCTGCGGGGTAGGTTCCTTGGGCGGCTCTCGATCGCCTCCAGATATAGCCGCGGAGTCCTGAGAAGACTTTGTTTTGCTTGCATTAGACTCCGGGGTTTCTGCATCGTCTCCATTCTCTTCATCTCCGCTATTTGCGGTTTTCGCTAAGGTGATGAATTGCTCCGTTGCGTTCCTTAAAGCTTGCGCTAGTTCAGGTTTTGCTTGAAGAATCCCTAGATTCACGGCCGTATCGTTGAAGTTAAGGAATGACTTGTTCATTTCCTCAATGATCGACTGAAGATCAGAGACCTGTTTTTTCAACGAACCGATAGTGGTCTCTTTCCTTTGCCGGTATGCTCTCTGAGCCAAGCGAATTTGCGTTCGCCGTTTCTGTCATAATGTCAATAGGAGCTCTGGGACGGCAACAGGGTAACGGGGTAACGGGTATCAATTGGCAAGATTTCAAACGCTTGGAGGGATAGCTGATTACTCGAAGTTCAAACTTCGGATGCTTTGTAATGTCCATTCGAAACGGAATAGGGGAATTATCGTAACTCACATCTGCTGCGGTCTCGTCTTGCGGGTCGACTCGAGGCCTTCCTCGATGTCTTTTGCTTTCATCGGCGCCGGCGGACTTGGTAGAGGAAGTCCGTTGCCTCTTTCTCGTAACCCCTGTTTCGCTTTCGGAGGATGTCATATTGCCGGATCACCACGTCGCCCTTCTCTTATGAACCTCTTCAGGCAGACAAGCTGAATGTAGTTTGAAATAGTTTTATTGTCACAGTTTGATATCGTTACTTCGCATATTCCTTTGTAGTTGGCAGGATACTGGGTAGCAATGGCATTCAATGGAGCCAGAGCACGCAAGGCGACTTTTGTCAGCAGAGGCGGTGGCACGCCCTTCTAGAAGTCGATTCGAAGACTCTGTCAATGATGAGTAAGATATATCCTCAAGGGCCTTTCAACTATGGCAAGTTCCAAAGAAGACGTATTCAGGCGGCCTTGTCGTATGGGAAGGTTGGAAGGGTGGAGACCCTCCTAATTCCTATACATAGTGCTGACTGGGGATGGACTGTATTCTGAAGTCTAGACTCAAGGATGAACAATATTAACTAAATTAGAAGGTTGGAAACGTCAGATAGAAGGATACACGATCAGAAGTTTAAGATCGATAGCCAGGTAGTCCCAGTTGCTTCCACGAGTGCCTAACAATATCAGGACCCCACGAAAGGCGTAATTCACCGGCTCAACCTTCAAGCCTGCGACCAAAGAATACGAGGCTCCGCGGCTCGCGAGTGATGAATGCAGGGTTTCACAGCACCAAGCATAACGTTATCAGCAAAGGTGATCAGTAATCATCAGTCAAGCCGCGGTGTTGGGTGACGAGGCCAATCGGAGATGGTTCCTCCGGCTAGTTGGTAGGAGGGAGTCACGTGGTGGGGCGAATCTCAAGGCACCAAGGCTGATACCTAATCTGGCGCACTAAAAGATCCAAAACCGCAGCTTCGATCTTCCTTGATCGCCAGCCCCATGTTGTTCAACCTTCGACGTCATCAACATTACGGTTCGCGATACACTTCAAACTCTTAATTCCAACCCATAAATTGCTATTTGCTAGTGTTACCAATATAGTATGTAGTGCTATTGGTTGGATATAGCTCCGTAAAAAATGCAGGTTTGGGGAGAACCACTGCTTGGCATGATGCAACAGTATGACATATTGCTCGCGCTTTCCTGGCCCAAATCATATTATAGAAAATGCTGCAGTTACGGTAGTGAGATCCTCTCTTCCTCAAAATCCAACGGATAGGCAAATAAACGAGACTTGAAATGGGATCCCAACGTGCGTTGATATTCCCACTAATTTGTGGCAGCCGACTAATGACAATTGCAAGCAGATACCCCGACTGCTGAAAATGCCACTCTACTTCAGGGTTTTGAGTGGAATGTACCAGCAGATGGCAACCACTGGAAGCGACTTCTCTCCAAGATCGATACTCTCAAATCAGTTGGCATAGACAACATATGGCTTCCTCCAGGATGTAAAGCATCCAGCTCAGAGGGGAACGGCTATGATATCTATGACCTGTATGATCTGGGCGAATTCGAACAGAAAGGGTCGCGACGCACGAAATGGGGCGGCAAAGAGGAACTCATGGAACTAGCCAAGAAGGCCAAAGACGTTGGTGTCGGCCTATATTGGGACGCAGTTCTGAACCACAAGGCCGGAGCGGACCACAAAGAGAAATGCCAAGCGGTTGAAGTCGACTCCGAAGACCATGAGAAGGCAGTGACCGATCCGTATGAGATAGACGCATGGTTGGGATTTGACTTCCCTGGACGAGGAGACGCATACAGTTCTCAGAAGTATCACTGGGATCATTTCACCGGGACTGACTACAACGGCGCAAATGAAAAGACGGCAATCTACCGCATCCTCGGCGACGACAAGCATTGGAGCCACACTGTCCCGAAGAACGAGGATTATATGATGTTTGCGGACGTCGACTTCCACCACAAGGAGTGCTCCGACGATGTCAAGAACTGGGGGGTTTGGATTACGAAAGAGCTTGGCTTGAAAGGATTTCGACTGGATGCTGTTCAGCACTACTCGGAGACATTCACCGATCATTGGGTGTCGTTTGTCAGACAAGAATGCGGCGACGACATCTTCATGGTGGGAGAGTATTGGGTTGGTGAAACGTCGACGCTGAAGGAGTGGCTGGACTCCATGGGTCCAAAATTTCACCTCTTTGACTCGCCGTTGCTCTACAATTTCTCCCAAATATCGACGTCAGAAAATGCCGACCTGAGGCAAGTTCTCGACAACAGTCTTGTTCAGGAAGCGCCCATGAATGCTGTTGTAAGTCACTTCTTAAATACCCACGTATATACCCTTCAGCTGACGCAGAAAACCGCATTCAGACTTGCGTAATGAACCATGATACGCAACCCGGGCAGACAATGGAGACTCCAATCGAAGGATTTTTCAAACCGCTGGCCTACAGCCTCATTCTTCTTCGGCAAGACGGGTACCCTTGCGTATTCTACGGCGACCTCTACGGGATAGGTGGCGAGCACCCTGAACCGCCCTCCTGCGGCGGTAAGCTGCCCGATCTAATCCTTGCTCGCAAACTTTATGGATATGGAGAGCAGAATGACTATTTCGACGAGGAAAACTGCATCGGCTGGGTGCGTCAGGGGACGAGCGACAGGCCAAACGGACTCGCTTGCGTGATGAGCAACGCAGGTCCAGGGGAACGGAAGATGCTCGTGGGCAACGAGCATGCTGGGGAAGTTTGGACCGACTTGCTAGGCTGGCAGCCCGACGAAGTTACGATTGATGAGGAGGGATGGGGGTTGTTTAAATGTCCTGGGATCAGCATCAGCGTTTGGGTCAGCAAGAGTGCTGAAGGAAGGGATAGGTTTCCCGCGAAATTCGACTCTGACATATACAAAGATGGATAGGACGAATTCATTAAGTGAAATCGTCAAGAGGAGAAGCTGGTCAGAACTTGAATGTTACTCTTTAAGGTTTACGATATTGAGGCTCTTGGAGCAAGCAGGGGTGGGACAGGGGTCTTCGATCGCATCCACCAGGAATGTAGTCATGAATATCAGGATCTCCAATTGAACCTTTTTAACATTGAATGTGACCACAGCTTGACTCACTCCCGGTTTGTTGTCGAAGCATATTGTCGTCAATTTTGGCTGATCGGAATGCCTGGGGGCTCATACTGAGTTCCTCTTAAGCCAAGTAAGTCGAATCTCAATTTGCGCTCAGCAATTAGTGAAACTGCGTACATTCAGAACCGCTGCGTATGACGATGTTCATCGCATGACTACATTTCTGTTTTATTTCTGGCCCCTTATCGATTCCACTCATGTTCCATGTTGCTGAAGACGACAACAGTGCTGACGACGTTGTAGTATGCGCAGATATGTAGTCCGACGCGCTGCGAACTCCATTCGAAAATATGCTACCGCTCCTCAACCACAACCTCCTACACAAAGGTCCAGTCCCACGACCGCGGAATATGAAAAGCGAGTGGAAGATTTGAAGGAATATGCTCCCCTGCGACGGCTTTACCCTCGCATATTAAGCAATCCTACAGAATTGTCCACCCTCCCGGACCGTTACAATGCCTCTATCAACCTTCAGCAACGCCAACAATCCGATGAGCCGTCACCGGTTCATTCTGTCTATGTTCACGGTTCGCTATAGTCGAGATAGCTGCTTCCATTCCCCGCTGATGTTTGTTAGGCAGGATCGAAAAGCTTGCGCATCTCGGCTCGAACCTCCATTTCATCCACATCACCGATGGAAAGACACATACGCAGGTGACTGCGAGCTACTCCTCGATGCCGGAATTCCTTTTGAAGGATGATTTCCGAAACCTACATAAACTCCTCCGCGTCGGTGATCATATTCGGGTCCGTGGCACTTTACACGAAGTTGAGCGAATGCCCGGGACAATTGGATTACGAGCGAACCAACTACCCGAGATCATTGCGCCCTCGTTGCACCTCATCCCGAAGGGGATCGCAAAGAAGGAGGCTCTTGCCAGACGCAGGCATGTGGCTATGATGACGGATCCACAACTCACGAACGCCATCAGAATACGCCATATCATTCAGCAGACCATGCGGTCGTACTTCGACGGCTTCCGCTTCACCGAAGTCAACACTCCAATCCTCGGCTTCGGCGCATCAGGGGCTGCCGCTCGGTCGTTTCGAACAATTGCTACGGAGATGACAAATGTCGATTTAAGACTCCGAATTGCCCCTGAGCTTTTTTTGAAGCGCATGATTGTTGGCGACATTGGACCGGTTTACGAAATTGGACCAGCCTTCCGGAATGAAGGAGTTGACGCTACACACAACCCAGAATTCACCATGTGCGAATTCTACGAACCGCATGCCAATAAGAAAGTACTCATTTCACGAACACGGAATATCCTGGTCCGCATAGTGAAAGCACTGAGAAAGGCGCATTCAGAAGGCATACTCAAGGAGCCCCCGCATATTCCGGAGAATATCAACTTCGACGGACAGTGGAAAACCCTAGAATTCATCCCTACTCTCGAGTCTGTCATCGGCGAGCGCCTTGATAACCCTAACTTCAAATTTCCTATGATTGCAGTCAAGACCCGCGCCGAGCTCCGTTCAACTGTCACCGCCCTCACGACCCTCCACCTCTTCTTAAAGCTGCCGCTCCCCACCAATGCCACGCTTCCCCGTCTCCTCGACTCCCTCGGCAGCCATCTCATCGAGCCTCTCTGCGACAACATCACCTGGATCGTTAACCACCCCGTCGTGATGTCTCCCCTCGCCAAGTCCTTCCGCTGCAGTAAAACCGAGCAATACGTCGCTGCGCGGGCCGAGTTGTACATCAACGGTGTGGAATTGATGAACTGCTACGAGGAAGAGAACAGCCCGTTCGACCAGCGCAAGAAGCTCGTCGAGCAGCAGCTACTTCGGACGGTGGTGGGCAGCGATGTGCACTGGGACGGGTTCGAAGATGTGGAGCCGCAGGCGGACGGTGAGGAGTTTCAGGTGGATGAGAACTACCTTGAAGCGCTCGAGTGGGGTCTCCCACCGACGGGCGGTTGGGGCTGCGGAATCGATCGGCTCGTGATGCTGTTCTCGGGGCAGAAGCGGATCGCGGACGTGTTGCCGTTTGGGTCGCTAAGGAACGTGGTCACGATGGGAAAGGGGCATCCGGATGCGGTTTTTGAAACGCAACGGAAAGATGATAGCAAGGATGATAGCGCCGAGTCCGGTCATCAATCGGCTCTGGAGTGATCCGAAGGACAGTAGATATGTATGATATATGTGAATATACCCCTCTTCGTGGTAGACGTGCCACACGTCCCGGCCCCATTTACCGACCCTCCTTCTATTATGTCGGTATGTCTGATGAGTTGACAATCTCCTAACCCGCCAAATCATCCGCCTTTCTCCAAATCTCCACCAGCGGCCCCTCCCGCCCGTATATCGGGTCAAACTCCGGTATCGCCACCGACTTCGCGACTTTTGCCTTCTCCGCCGTTTCGGTGACGTCGGCTTTGCACCAATTGTTGTCCCATTTCAGGCTCCCCTGAGAACTTTGTTAGGGTCAACGATGAGGGACTCACCGGAGAGGCGGGCAGTGTGGGAATGGCCATTCAACGCAAAGGAGACGCACAAACCTCGGGATAGAAACCAACGTACTCGTAACCGTCGGCGGGGTCAAGGGAGCAGTGAGATAGGCCAGCCTATGTGGCAGTGCTTAGCTCTGAGCACCATCCCATCTCAATCCCCTTAAGGATTGGATGAACAATTCCATAGATTTAGCGCTGAATAATGCAAGCAAAGGTCAAAGGAACAAAAGCGAGACCCACTGGCAGAACAATAACATCCCCCTCCCTCAGACTCACCACCACCCGCCTCGTCATCCACCCCTCCGCCCCCTCCCCGCTCCTTTCGCCCCTCTCCATCTCCACATCATCCCCCGGTCCTCTCCCCAAGAGCAAACTACTCTCCCCCCTAAACACAGCATAACATTCATGCGTTACGGAATGAAAATGATGTGTTCGCACAGCCTTGAACACCCCGCCTTTCAGCCAGTGGTTCGGTTCAACCGAGGCGATGGTGGAGGTGGCGGAGAGGGGTGCAGTGAGGACGGAGCGGTAGACTAGGGCGGGGAGACGGGAGTTGGGGACGTGGGGCGTGGGGGGGAGGAAGTAGGTTTCTGGTGCGGTGGGCATGTTGTTGGGGATGGTGGGACTAAGGCGGGTTATCGGCGGGCCACGGTTATGGAGTGTCGTTGAGACTGTGCATAGTTAAAGAAACTTGGTATCAACATTGACATCTCTTGATCCGGTACGGCATTATCTATGGCATTAGTGCATGACGATTGCTGAGACATCCATGTGATCGTTCGCTGTGGGGTAGATATCAGTATCCCGGCAGTACTTAATGCGGGAATGAAGATTAGATGGACATGTTGGGTGCTTCCTGGAGCTAATGGAGTACGGCTGACGATACACACATCACCATCCGTATAAAGCAATCCCTCTGCGTTTGCCGTAGAGTATCGACTTTCAGGCCAGTACCGATCCCTCGCTCCGATCTGCACCAATAGAAAGCGGGCGCTGCAACCTGGATATCAGCATATCTTGTGCAAGCGATCCAGATCTGAAATCTGATCCAGATGGGCGCCCGGCACTCCGGTAAGCAGCCGAAAAGTCTCCAGTGGCGTCCATCACTTGCATTATGCATAGTTCCAGACTCGGCTACGGGCCTATCCACGCCGGTCTAATGGAGGGGTATCACACGCTTGGATCCTGGGGGGGCTATCAGTGACCAGAGTATCAGGCAACGGTTTAATATTGTGCAGTGGAAGTCATAGTGGTGTCTTTTATGAATGATTCGTGAGGGGAACACCATTCATACGAATCATGGAGATATCGACTCAGCACCTAATCGCAATGACAGGGGTGGAGTGGCAAACATTACGTTGCGCTGCTATTTAAGGATGGAGGTCAAGATCCATCATAATTCGCAGCCTCATGGTCCCGCAATTCCGTCCACCGTGCAGTGCCATATTATGATATTATCCACTTGTGACTTGACACTCCGCAGTTCCGGACAGTGTGGTAGGCTTGGCTCAGCCGGGTTAGTCGGCACTCCGGCATTTCTGACCTTGTCAAGTCTCGACCAGTGGATTTCGATCGCGCTGGAAGTGAACGAGGAAGGCAGTGGTTAGTAGGTGACTTGTGATGGTGGAGTATTCTTGACCGACGGAGGCCAAGCCCTCACCGGTACGAGGCGGATGAGTGCTGCGGGTGGTTTGGAGTGACAGACGGCGATTGTTCCGGCAGTGACAAAGCTGGGTGGTCCTTGTGCTTCACTCTGAGGCTTTATCATGAGAGAAGGCAAGGACTCGAATCTTGGCAGGCAAAAACACCATGAGGAGTGTGGCCATGTCTGTAAACAGAGGTAGTAGTCATTAAATGTAAGCTATGTTAGAGAATCATGAGATGGTGCCATACCGGTATCTGCTGCCATGTTATTATTAAAGAGGCGATGATAAAAGCAACCATTCATTATTCTCCTGGACGATCTGGATAATTTAGGTTGTGGCTGTCCCCAGACCGGTACCTCCGCTAATTACAGTATCTTGACGATCGACTTCAGGTTGACATTTCAAAGTGGGCTGCGCCTGATGGTTACGTGGAAGGGTCTTGGGAATTTGGCCATATTACCATATTGCAGTGCTGCCGCTGCTGCTATGCCGCACATTCCAATTTCCAAATCCAGGGCTCCGGTCATTTCGTTACCGTGCCAGGTGAAAGTACGGTAATTGCTGAACATCATTGCTGAACATCGACATTATCATCAAGGAATTGATGATTTGATAACATCGTGTGCTCGCATCTGGAACGACGCCAGGATCCACCTCCCTCCTCCGCATTTTCCCCAAATCTCCGCCATTTCGTTCGCTTTACCTTCACTGGGTTTCACATGCACTTTGGTTGGGCGGTCCACTACTCTCTCGCCCAGTTTACCTTCACTAGCTACCTGGGTCCCTGGCACTTGAATCTACAAGACGTCAACTTCCATCATCGCTGTGGCTCAGGCAGACAGGCTTTTATCTCTCCTCCGCATTTCACTCCACCCCTCTAGAGCACTTGAGCGTTGCAATCCTCTTATCAAATCCATCCGTTAAAACCATCCACGCCTTCATCTCCCAGGGCTTCCCTCCTGATCATCGTTACATTTCAGCTGGGCCAAATCGATTGACAGTTGGTGCAACATCATCATTGCATTTCAGTTGCCCATGCAACCCTGCCCGCTAATCAGCTGCAACCATCCGGCCAGATCCTGTCCACTCCGATCCTGACTATTACGAGACTCCCTCATACCGTCACTCCGCCCACGTTTGAGCCTACGAGTTCCTTCTTATTTCTGCCTCGTCCCCCGTTGCGTTTCATTCTCCGCGAATCCGTCGCTGGTGAGGGGATTCATCCTCGAGATTGCCCAGTGGAAGCCCTGCGAAATCTACCTCCAACTCACTTCCGCTCGTCGATCCTCTAGTCTTGTGTATCGCGACGCGGGAAAACACTGGATATACCGTTCTGCGACCCCAGAATGCAGGACACATCCTCACACCCGGAGTTCTAGTCGGCCTCACATCTTTCTCACTTGAAACCAGGCTGTGGGGTGAAGTGAAATATTGATTTTCACTTTGCGGGCAATTGCAGTTGAATTCAAATCTCCCGTGGGCGATTCATTTCAATCACTCACATTTGTGAAACGGCGAGTTTACAACAACAACATCCGAATTCACTTTGCACTTTGCACTTCTTGTTACCTTTTCACTCCCTCCTTCGTCGCTCTTCTTTTCTTCCGCTCCTATTATGTCTTCTTCCTACAACGTCTCTCAACCTTACCCCTCACGAGGAACCTCTGCACACGGTCGCCTCCACAAGCGTGGCAACTCCGATTCCTCATTCACTTCACCTACTCCACCATACGCCAACGAGATGCTGCGTCATAGCACTGAATCGCGAAGGACGGAGGAGCTTCGAGCGACCTATGGTGACCTGGTGAGGGAGACCCGACCCTCTCTCGATTCCCAGCGCTCTGGTCATGGCTCTCGTGGATTGAAGATCAAGCCATACATCCGCAAACTAGCAACCAATGATTCACACGGCAAGATCAACATGTCCCGATCGGAGCAAGAGCGGCTTGCCGGCTTAGGAATCAACGCCGACTATCATTTCGGACCGACTCCAAGGGCTTCAGATGTCAACTTCGCGCCGATGTCTCGATCCCGTCACTCTCGCACTAGGAGCAGCAACTCGCAATTCTCCGCCTCATCTTCTCCTTACCGGCCTTCCGCCCCGTTTGTCCACCCGATGAAGCAAACTCCCAGCGCATACACTCCACCCTATGCGAGATCCAACCCGATTTCCGTTGCGGACACGGACCCTGACGAGATCACTCCCGTTACGGGCGACGACGAAGCCCTTCGAAGTGTTCGCGTCGCATTTGCCGATGGCGAGATGAACGGCACCTTTCACTCCACTCCTCATAGCCACACTCCGAGCGCAACACCATCCCTCACTCGTCTTCCCCACACTCACCCCAACCCCTCTCAATCCTCGATTCGCAGCGGATCCGTTCCCAATCACGCGTTCCCACGGCCTCGTGGCAATACGCATGCATCCGTCGACACTGCCACGACGAACGGAACACCCAATACCAACAACAGCATGGCCGTTTTCAGCACCTCCACCGCCGCCACCAGCAACATCCCCGCGACCTCTTCGACTCGCACCAGCTTTGACAAAGCCTCCAGCATCGCCCACTCCTTCACCCACCCGTTCTCCTTCTCCCGCACTCGCACCGCCGACACCGCCTCCTCCTCCCCAGTCGACCCCAACACCGAGCGCGCCCAAGACATCGCGCGCCTCCGCGCCGCCTTCGCCGAGCGCGAGGAAGCCAAGGAGCGCAAATACGAAGCCGAAGAACGCCGTGCCCGCGAACGCGAGGCGAAAAAGGAGCATCGCCGCCGCGAAAGCACCGAGCGGCACCAGCGATCGCACGAGCGCCGGCTGGAGAGTGAGGAGCGAAAGCGGAAGCGCAGCGCGGAGCGACAGAGCCGGAAGGCCCGCGAGCGTGAGTGGAGCCGCGAAGATAAGGAGCAGAAGAAGAATAAGAAGAAGAAGGGGGTAGAGTCGGAGGCGGAGAAGAAGACGGAGGTAGAGGGGCTAGAGCATGCGAATTTCCCGAGCTACAGCGAAACTGCGGTGAGCATGCCGATCAGGGGGCGTCCCATCAGTGCGATGAATGAGAAGGAGGAATACGTTGAGTTCACGGGACAGGGGAAGCGTGGCGGTGGGTTCAAGAGGACGTGGTTTGGGTTCCTCGCGTGGTTCCGGACTCGCCTTCTACGATTAGGCATCCGCTTGTCCGGGAAGCACTGATCCGGAGACACGATCTCCACCGCACCACGAGATTATTTGCTTTCTTGCTTTTCTGCATGGCTTCAAGGCATATGCTCGGGGCATTCGCACGAGGCACTTTCGCCTTCACGGGGCATAGCAGCGCGCTTGATGATTTGGCATCACGCGCTCGACGAACAGTTCAGGACGACTTTGAGGTTTAGCATGGTGTTTACCGGGTTTTTTTTGGCAATGGATCCCTCGACCCCCAACGACCCCCACGGGACGCACTGTTGGGGCCATTCGGGAGAGTGGGCGTCACGATATCACTACGATTCCAGTGACGATGTGATGGTCTGGGAGAGATTATCTGATGATGGAGCAATGCAGGATGATTTGACGCGAGGTGTGAGTAGCGTCCTCATATAGATGAACCGATAAATGCAATCACGCTTCATTCAATCTTCCCGTGCTTCCCTAAGTTTTTGGATTCGCTCACGCCTTATCAACATTCAATATCATGACTGCAGCATGCCTTCCTTGGATCCAGGAATCGGTGGGTTTAAAAACCCCGTCCTTGTCTTCCAAGCATCTCCATGGTACGGCACTATGACTTCACCACAACGGATAGAAGTCTCTGCTCCGAGTTTTCCGCCTACATCGCAGGTATTCCCATCTGCATGCAGTAACATGTGGATGCTCGCTGCTGTGTGGAAGGCACGTCTCTCACTGATCCAGTCTTCCCTATCTAAGTAGGCAGCAGTAAGCCTCCTCTCCCCATTTAGAGTGGGCATTTGATGCAACTCACATCTTCATTCTTCTTCTTGTTGATCCAGAGACATGCTGTCTACACGTACTTCTATTCTGTACCATCCTGCAAAAAGAGGTGGTCAATGACAGTGAACATTCAGGGGGTCCTAGAATAATCTAATCCCCCTCTAAGCCACTATAGCCATTCATGCTCCACTTTACAAAGATTGACTTTATTAAAGTTATAATTATGTGCCTTCCCACAACAAGTGTGGTTATATTTTAGCCAAGACAAAGAACCGAACAATTGGATACATTGTAGAAATGCTCCCTAGGCATCCATTAGGTATCATCAAGCCGTTAAAAAACCCGAAAGCTGAGTGGTATCTTCCATAACCTCTTCTAGCCGAAATTTCAAACGAGCCGCTCTTTAAATCTATGATGGAGCGTTGAAGATCCAATCTTCATTCGGAAACGGAAAGGGATCGGAATTGAACTCGTTTTGACCCATATCCACATGAGGGGGAAACGGTGGCCAATTGAAATCATAAATCTCCAGATAATCCAGCTCATTCGGCGCCAGGGCCCTCATCTGTGCCCCCCCACTCACATTGTACGTCCCGGCGCCAGCCATGGAACCATTTCTAGTTGGTTCACGAGGCTGTCGAGAAATCAAGAAGTCCGAATCGAAGGCCGTCCTCCTCATGTCGGCGAGAATCTTTACGGCCGACGGCGTCGTCCGCTCGCCATCTGGGCCAGGCGGTGCGTGGAGAGAATCTTGATACTCGTCCAGGACGCGTTGGAGCAGGTCGGCATATCGCTCGGCGACTTGCCAGTACTTGCCCATGGTTCGAAGGGTTTCGACCAGCGTCCAGATTCCGGTGGATATGCCCTGCTTGCGCGTGGTGCAGTCTACGAGGATGAGGCGAGCGGCGACCCAGACCGAGAATACGAAGGGCGGACCCAGCTTGTCCAGAAGCTGGTGGTCCCGCACATATGTACACAGGTCGACGATCCGCTGGGCGGCAGTGACACAATTGTCCGCTGCAGACCGTGAAGGCTGGAATTTCGGAGAACGGGTTGTCGGGTATGCCGCTGAAGAATGAAGCCGGATGATGGTGCTGGCAGACGTTAGTAAAACCCGGGACGAAAGGTTGGCCAGACCCACGTTTGGTGAGCGGCATGCAGCATAACCCATGGACAGGTCTGAGCATTCCGCGGGTTGCGATCGGAACGGTAGAGACAAGAAATATTGCGAATCTCGGCCGGAACTCTATAATACCATTGCTGGATGGCACTGTCCAGCTGTTTGTATTCCTTCCTCCACGCATCGACATCAGGTTGCGCACCGATGTCAACTGGTTTCTTGAGGAACTGATGAATCTGTGAAAGGATCCCGATGAGTTCAACGTAATAAGAAAACACTCCTAGGTTGTCTGGCCTGTCCTCCGAAACTTCTGCTGGGTCTGCTTTGGACCGGAACCATCGAGTCTCCACACGCTGATTGTTCTCGAAGAATTGTTCATGGCATGGCAGTTTCCGGTCAATTTCTTTTTCGTCCAACGCGAACTCAAACGCCGTGGCGATCGTGGCGTATCTATCAAGCAGATAAATCATCCAGAAGAGCCGCCTCCTGCATTCTTCTTCATGAAAGTCAATCGGTCCCGGCAATACCATGGCCCGAAGCGTGTAGATCGAGGGGTAAGCGGGGACCACGGTAGAAGAATTCGGTTCCACAGCAAGTCCAAGTTGGACGACTGAGCGCGTGATAAGAGCGAGGAGGTTCCAGCCTGGTGGTCCATTGGAAGATCCAACGACATCCAGGGCGAGGATTACCAGGGCTTGAAGTGATCTCACCGAGCTATTTTCAAGGCCGTAGAGGAGCACCTTCTCTTTCGAGATCGAATGATACCTCGTCCGTCTCTCAGGTGTGAGCCGTGGGTCCGTCGAGAATCTTAGGCTGGTGGCTACAATAGCATGAAGCATAATACGATCATCGTCATTCAAGGGTTTGGAGCCGAATAGGGAATCGCTCAACTGACGCCGTACAAAGATTGGACACCATGTATTTACATGGTGGAAGAAAAGGGTCGTTAGTGCCCATACCAGATCCTGAGGCGGTAGATCACCCTCCATGGAGTCCGACGCAGGCGGGCTGTTACGGATATTGAGAGATGAAGACTCCAAAATCGGGTCAGGAACTTGTCCATATGAGTCTCTTGAGGAGCGTGGGTGATTTCGAGCACCTTGTGGATGGAGAGGTTCCCCGGATATATTCTGCTGAAGACTATTGGTCCTTGATCCGCTGTGTAACGATGTCTGTCCACCATTGAGGTTGGTGCGATAGTCGTGAGCTATTGTAGGGGCCGCGTTGAAAGAGGATGGTTTTTGCAAAAACAGTGCTGTCTCCGGGCCAGGGATGTGAGGTTTTTGTAACGGCGCAGGAGTTCTAAAGACAGTTTGTACGTCTGAGGTTGTAGGAGGAGCAGTTGATGTCTCGATAACCGTCCCTTGCGCCGATGCAAGCTGCGTGATGGTGGTTTGCTGAATACGGACCAATTCCTCAAGTCGATCTTGATCCAAACATTAGCCATCCCATCCCAGGCGCTTTCTCGATCGTATACTTACCAAGTCTTGATTCTAATTCCCGCCCATAACCCGCTCTTAGTCCAGGCTTTTTGCGGGGCTTGTATTCGCATACGTGACCGTTCCTCACACACCAGCCGCAATCTGGCTGTCCACGATCGCATCTTACTTTGCGCTGCTTGCACATTTCGCATGAGACCGGCGTTGGTCCCTCCAACACCGGTCCATTCGATCTCTTCCGCTTCCTGGAGCCATCCTGCTCGTCCTCCCCATTGCTCTCGTTGCCGTCCCACTGACCATTCGCGTGTCTCAGGTTGTTTACTTCGTCAGGGGACTGGTGGGCGCCAGATGAGGCCGAATGCGACTGCGGACTGGCGAAATGCTGCGGCTGGTTGCCGGGCAAGCTCATGGCTGCAGCGCATCGAGACAGAGGAAGCAACTGAGGGAGTTGCCATTCCTTCTCGTTCGGTGATAGACCGAGAGAGCTGATCTCAGTCAGATTCGGGCTTGCAAGGTTGTGACAGCCGACCGGTTTGCGGGGTTGGGGATGGGCCAAGTTGGGCTCTAGAGACGGGAATATTGTTGCGGCATCCGTCACGCCAATGTCGCGGGCCATCAATGCCCGCTGGGGCCGCTGACCATCCCCCAGATCGGGCTAATGGCTCCGATGGGGTGACTGAAGTCGCCTAGCGGTCTGGTTGCAGCTAATAATAATTAGTGTCGGCTGTCGATTGTCGAGTGACGAAGATTGCCAGACGCAAGAATAAGTGAAATGTCTGAATTCTAGTCAGCATTTAATACACCGACGGAAATCTCTGCGACTCAGAATCCTGGCGTCGGGCTCATCTCACCCTCGCCGCAATCTGTCTGAAAATGTAGCGGATTTGCAGTAGAGAGCGCCCGCTTCTGGATATATACCATCCTGCTGCAGTAGACACGGACCGTAAGTGATAGACCTGATCAGTTTGCGTAACGCGACAAAAACCATTTGACACTTAAGACGCCTGCTGCTAAGCTCCCTCAAGGCGAGACGAACGGCATCATGCCGGTTCAGGCGTTTCCCCTAGTCAATGGCGTTCGTACATTCATCCTGCATGGCGTGGGGTCGGGAGGGGACTATCACAATGTAAAAGGTGGGCATTGGTTGATTGATTCCAAAATCTCCACGCCCATGTCGCAGTATGAAGAGTACAGACAATCTCGGACCAGTTGGGGAATCAATGTCCTTGGATCATTCTGCGTGCAAATCGAAGCATCAGATGGCAGTAAAGGGTTCGCTACTGGTTTTGGTGGACCTCCTGCGTGTTGGCTCGTTGCTCAACATTTTGAACGATTCCTCATAGGAGCCGGTAAGGCCTTCGACTGCACATTGGATATAAATTCCGATTAATATGACTAGATCCAAGAGACACAAACCATGTGTTTGAGCAGATGTACCGGGCTTCCATGTTCTATGGCCGAAAAGGATTGCCAGTTGCGGTCATTTCAGTCATTGACCTTGCGCTCTGGGACCTACTGGGGAAGATACGGAACGAGCCCGTGTACAAGATGATAGGAGGCGCCACTCGAAGCAGGCTCGACTTCTATTGCACAGGGCCAGAACCTGCCGCTGCAAAATCCATGGGATTCAGTGGTGCTAAGGTCCCTCTGCCTTACGGCCCTGGAGAGGGAGCGGAAGGCATGCGAAAGAATGTCGAGTTTCTCCGGAAACATCGCGAGAGTGTCGGATTCGACTTTCCTCTCATGGTCGACTGCTACATGAGCCTGAACGTTCCTTATACGATCGAACTAGCCCGGGAATGCGAAGACCTCAAGATTAACTGGTTTGAGGAGTGTTTAAGTCCAGACGACACCGAGGGCTACGAGCTGATCAAGCGAGCACATCCCCGAACCAAATTCACGACCGGAGAGCATGAGTATTCCCGCTATGGATTCCGAAAGCTCATCGAGGGCCGAAATCTGGACATCCTTCAACCGGATGTCATGTGGGTTGGCGGAATGACAGAGCTTCTGAAGATCTCCGCTATGGCATCTGCGTATGACATCCCGATTGTGCCGCATGCCAGCGGTTCGTACAGCTACCACTTCGTTGTCTCACAAGCGAACTCCCCCTTTCAGGAGTATCTTGCCAACTCACCGGATGGCAAGTCGGTCTTACCTGTGTTCGGCAACTTGTTCCTGAACGAGCCAATCCCAGTAAACGGCTATCTTGATGTTTCTGAGCTAAACAAGCCGGGCTTTGGTCTGGAGGTGAACCCAAGTGCTCCATTGATCGATGCGATCAAGATTCTGAACCCTGCTCCTCTGCCATCGCTGAGACCGGCCGAACCTGGTGCGAACCCCGAAACGGTCGATGAAAGCGTAAGAGTGCTGGCGATTAATGGACACATTCCTTAGGTTTCCGAAGGCACGGGTATTTGAGGGTTGAATAAAGTTCTTTGAATGCGGCAAACTCACGGCGGTGTTTGATATTGGATTCGTCTTCGCATAAGATAATCGCAGGCAACCTAGTGCATATATCGAACATCAATGATATTCACCCCTAGAAGCTCGAGCTCTGGGTACTTTCCTAATCTCCTGAACATCTGTCTCGTCAATTTTCCTTTTCTTACCTCATACCTGGTGGCGTCACGATTTAGGCGAACCGTTCCTATGCCTCCTGCACGCTCCTGATTAAGATGCAGTTCTGGCTCGATGAGTACGGAGTAGTCCGTACTTGACACTAATTACACTTTGGCGTGTTCCGTCTCGGGCATCTTCGCAATTGGCACTGCAGCGCACACGGACATTGGTGGGGACAATGGCGTAGCACAGCCGGAGCTAGTGACATGGAGCTGCAACTTGCCCTGAGCCTTGGGGCCTTGGACTGAGTTGGACACAGTTCAACCCCCTCCAATTCAAGACCAGACTCAAGACCCGAAAGTGCAGGAGGGTGATGGGCTGAAAATAAGTTGATTCAATCCTACAAGTATTTAAAGCCAGAGACAGGGAACCTTATCATCTGAACATTCTCGAAGTGCTACTACTTTGTCAATTCCTACCAAATACCTTAGTCTCTCCCATACCTGGCATAAGAAAGATGGCACCAACCGTCCAAGAAATGATCAGCAACATCAACAACCGCAGTGGGGGCAATGACACGGTGCAAGAGCCCAGTGATGAGCAATTGAAAGAGCTCCGCCAAAAGTACGAGAAAGCCGGCCAAGGACATGTCTTTACCTTCTACGACTCCCTCAATGCTAGCCAGAAAGAAGCGCTGCGCAAGCAGCTATCCGGCTTCGACCCGGATCGAATCAACAAGCTCGCCGACCATGCGCTGAACCCTCCCAAACCCGCGGAAATAGAAGGAGCACCTGCTCTTGAACCGTTGCCGCTGGATGCGACATCCTCCGTCTTCGACTCGAAACCCGAAGATCTGTCACAATGGTACGAGCAAGGGATCGATTTGATCGCGGACAATACGGTGGCGGTGGTGCTCATGGCAGGCGGTCAGGGCACAAGGCTGGGAAGCTCCGATCCTAAGGGTTGCTTCGACATCGGATTGCCGAGCCAGAAGTCGCTGTTCCAGCTGCAAGGAGAGCGGATATGGAGAGCGCAACATGTGGCGGAGAAGCAGCACAACAAGGAGGGAGTGGTGATCCCCTGGTATGTCATGACCAGTGGTCCGACGCGAGGGCCAACGGAGAAGTTCTTCGAGAAGAACAATTACTTTGGGCTGAAGAAGGAGAGTGTGGTCATCTTTGAGCAGGGCGTATTACCGTGTATTTCGAATGATGGGAAGATCATCCTAGAGTCGAAGGACAAGGTAAGAAGCAGGATGCTCTCGAAGCAACGCTATACTTACTAACACTGTCAAAATTAGGTTGCCGTTGCTCCCGATGGTAATGGAGGTCTCTATAATGCCCTCATCGCTTCGGGGGTTGTTGCCGACATGAAGAAGCGTGGAATCAAACATATCCACGCCTACTGCGTGGACAACTGCCTCGTCCGCGTCGCCGATCCCACATTCATTGGTTTCTCTGGATCTAAAAACGTCGACATCGCTACCAAAGTCGTCCGCAAGCGAGACGCCAAAGAATCAGTCGGTCTAATCCTACAGAAGAATGGGAAGCCAGACGTTGTCGAATACTCGGAGATCGATGCCGAGACCGCCGAGGCCAAGGATTCGAAGAATCACGACCTTCTCAAATTCCGCGCCGCCAACATCGTTAACCACTATTACTCGTATGACTTCCTCGAGAGTATCCCGAGCTGGGCGAATCGGCTTCCACATCACGTCGCGCGGAAGAAGATCCCGTACTGTGACTTGGAGACGGGCGAGACTGTCAAGCCAGAGAAGGCTAACGGGATCAAACTCGAGCAGTTCGTGTTCGACTGCTTTCCGTTCCTGAGCATGGACAAGTTCGCCTGTATGGAAGTCAAACGGGAGGATGAGTTTTCGCCTTTGAAGAATGCACGAGGTCTGTCGCTTCCAGTACAATAGTTCCAAAACATGTTGCTGACTACATCATTTCAGGTGCCGGCGAGGACGACCCCGACACAAGCAGACGAGATATCATGGCTCAAGGCAAGCGTTGGGTCCAAGCTGCAGGGGCTGTTGTTGTGAGTGAAGACAAGGAAGATGGAGTGGAGGTGTCCCCGCTCATCAGCTATGTAAGTGACTCCTCCAATGGAGAGGCTATTGACGGAGGCTAACAATGTTCGGAATAGGGCGGAGAAGGTCTAGAATATATGCAAGGAAGGGAAGTTCGGGCGCCAGCGGTGATTGAGAAGGAGGAGTAATGCTTTTAGCAACCAAAACTCCGGCCAGCACAGAGAGCAAAACATGTACGTGAATGATGTTACGTCCGCTTATGCAAAAGTTTATCAATCGAAGACCGTCATGCACAGCAGCGGGGCTCTCAGGGATTGCACTCAGGGATTGCACTCATACACGTAAAAAGATCATGTCATTGTCATCAATATGCTCAAAGCACCTATCAGTCGACCTGTCGACGCATTAAATAAAACACTTCCTCCAGCTACACTCGACCAGCGTCCGACCAATGATTAGACCGCAATCCACCGACCCATCCAAGTGTTGACAATCTCTTTCGCCTCATCCACCAAACCAAGGTCAAGCAAGAGTTGCGTGGTTCCACGCACAGCGCTGTCCAGGGCAGAGAAGATCCAGGCATGCGTATAGCTGGTATGCTCTCCGACAAAGATGGTCTTGGACTCCGTGTTGAAGTAAGCAGGAAGGTAGAGCTCCTGTTGGCCGAGCAGGGGAGCGGCCCACGCGCCAGCCTGATGCTCATCCATCTCCCAGCATTGACGGTCGTAGATGCCAGTGTACTCATCGGCGGCGATCTGGCCGTGAGCCTCGACCATGGCACGTTGAACGAGACCAACGTGGTCCGCGTCGCTCAGGGCGCCCATTGTTCGCGCAGGAGTGCCAGATGCGTACGCGGCAAGGAGGACACCGGGGTCGGTCGAGTTGATATTGTAGGAAGGATAACAGACTGAACCGACACCATAAATGTCAACGGAACCGCATCCTCCGATGATTGGCGGATCCAACTTCTCCCAGAAGCGAGTCTTGTAGTGAAGTGCGATCTTGCACGACTGTTGGTAGTTCATGGTGTCGATGGCACGGGTCAGAAGGCTTGAGTACCGCGGGAGGCTCCAGCCCCTCACTTTCGAGAATGGAACGGCGACGATGGCATAGTCATATTCCTCGGTCTCGGGTACCATCTGGAAGGGATCCTCGCGCCACTGGAGAGCCACTTTGTCGGTTTCAGCATCGTAGGCAAGTCCCTCAATCTTGCGGCCAAAGGTGGTCTTGTCCTTCACGAGCGGTGTGAATGCGCGCTCAAGGGAGCTGAGGCCTTTGTCGATCGTCTTCCATTCGGAAGCGCCGAAGTAGACATTGTCATAAAGCCACATCGGATGGTGCTCAGCCCCTGCGATGGAGTCCGTGAGGTTGGCGTCCATGTCAAGCGCATACTTAATATAAGTAGCCTCGGACCAGTGAAATAACCCGCGGTCGACCGCGTCTTTGTGGGCCCTGTAGACGTTCGTCGCAAAAGCCTTGATTCGGTCGGGGGTCATGCCTCCGAACAGTTCCAGTGCTTCTTCGGCAAAAGCCTGGGCTTCGGGATTGGATGATACGGACGCAGGGCCTTTCAGGGACGGGTCGGCTTCGAGTTGAGCGCTGCTTGGAATCCGACCATCGGGGAGACGGTATCCATTCGAACTGGCAGGAGTGTTCGGGCTGTTTTGGATGAAGGGGATGAAATTGACAGCTACGCTTGGGTCGTTGTTGTTGAGCTTGTTAAGAGTCTCACCGAGCTGGAACACCATCTTGTGATCTTGGATATCGATTTTTTCGTCGGTATCGGAATACTTGATATTCACTGGGAAGCGCATGGGGCCCATTTCTTGATATTGGTACTGGTCAGGCGTAGTGTTGTTGAGATACTTGGTTCGGACACGACCTGCAACCCTCTGGGTGGACTCGTGGATATGCCAGTTGTGCATACCAACCGACTCAAGAAGCAAGCTGGTCATGAGCCCGCTCATGCCACCGCCGACAATGGCAATGCTCTTCGACTTTGCTTCTTTTGAAGCAGCGGCATTGATGCTTTTGGATTGCATGTATGCCACACCGTCAAACCAAGGTCCCATTGTTTCGGCAACATCAGCTAACAATTCACGTTTTCGAAGAGGTGCAGAGACGCCAATAGGTAGGGATCGACCCACGAGTCCTCCATTGGAGAAAGCATGAAGACAACCATTGGCCTGGATCTCTCGGGGTACAATCCAGACCAGACGATCGGGGCGGGAGGATTTGTCAACGATGGTGATGGTGATATCGTGATGCTTCTCGTGTTCCGCACTCATGCCGCAGTCTCCATACACCACCCGGAGTTCACCTTCAAGATCATCTCCATAGCCAATGTGGACATTGTGCAGCGAGTCAGACTCGACACTAATGGGGCCTTTGAACTGAACGAGCCCATGGTTGGTACCAAGGGGTGTTGAAAGCGCAGCAGTTGCTATTGAAAGCGCGGTATAAATGGCGTGGGGCGTCTTCATCTTGGCATATAATAGCAATTGACTTGATGATATCGATGAAGCTCTCACGGACTTCCAACAGCGGAACACTCTCCTCTTATAAGAGTACTTGGTTCCACAACCTCAAGCCCTCCGAACTCCCAAGTGCGGATTGCTGTCTGCATTTCGGCGACCTCGAGATACGATAATATCGGGCTGCTAAGGGTCTTTCAAGTGTGTATCAATCTTATGACTGTTCTAAAGGCCGACGGGCGATCATGTCTTAGACGATTCCTGCGAACACTCGCGTAGGTGACGTTGACTAGGAAGTCTATCGTAATATGCACTGCCATCGTGGCCGCGGGATCTTTTAGCAGGGAAATTGTAATCTCCGGGCCAGTCGGCGGGATGATCATTATCGTCACCCACGCTGATAGGAGGCATATTCCTTAAACGTGGTGGATAACGGTGGAATATCCGGGGGGATGAGGTCGCTTGTTCGCAACTTGATATCGGTACGAACTTGGTGGCCGAACTGTTGTCTGTTAGTCGGTTGACAGTAGTGTGCTGTAGTGTACATATGCCGATCTTTTCGCCTTGTGTACTAATGGTGTGTCGTCTAAAGAATTGATAAGGACTTAAATAGAGGAGTGGGGACGGCGGCCGGAGGAAGATCTTGATATCGGTTGTTGTCCGCTTGGCGGGTTGGAGAAATCGACAGGGGCAAGCCTGCAGGCTGCAGCCATGATTTATCCCCATGAACTGTTGGACTGTGGAGGATGAATTCGCTAAACGACCACCATCATGCGCTTTTCCCCTTCAGGTAATTTTACCACAACTTCATCCGCGCACGGAATGAAGCATGCCGATATGCTTCTCTTCGGGAAGCTCAAAGCTGAAGCTGTCTAGACGACTCTCAAGAGTCAAGAGGCTCCAAATCGAACAGCAGAGCGAGATGGGCTATGGACGAGCGACAACGCCCCCCACACATTGCGATTTACTTCATCCTGCTGCTCCACAAGTTAGCGACTTCGATTATAGCCCGGCTTGAATTTGCCCCAGACAGCCGTAGTCTTCTGCTGACGATTAATACTGGCGTCTGGCACACGAGTGGTGTGGGTGCGGAACTGCGGATACTTTCGCCAGTCAATGGATGGAGGAAATTAGGTTTCATTCCGGTCTCTTGGCTCCAAGATACGGCTTGCCCTCGCTCATCAAGTTGCTGGAGGCTTGGAGCAATGTAACGTTTCGGAGAATACGGTGAACATGATGGATTGGTTGAGACCTGAGACCTGGACAGCTCTGGACCGCAGAGAACCGATGTGTCATATCTAATTGATGTTGAAAGGCTAGTGGGTCTCTGTCTATTCTAGAATATCATTGCACGCGAATTGATCGGCAGCCGATCTCTGAGACCCTGCATTTCGGCATTCTAAGGAATAACGGCACTGGAGAGCTTCAGATCATCGGATGGGAACTGAAGATCGCTCGCGTGCAGTGTGGAAGCGCTGGGGGATAGGGCTCCGCAACCTTCTGCTGTGGGCATTGGAAAGGCTTGGTTCTTTCATCTTTGATAGAATGATGTCCCCAATCCCCATTCCTAAAACCTAATAGATAAGGTACCGTTCGTAGGATTTTAACCTCTAAGTAGTTCACCGAGTTTTGCCGATCTCTATCTCGTATTCGCCGGGGGTCAGCCGTTGCTCCACACCAAGCTTACCTGCACTCTTGACCAGTGACCACTGATGAAGTGACGATCTATCAGCTATCTTGAACGATTGCTTCGTATAACATGTCAAGAACTCGAAGACTTAGGTAAATGAGATACGATGGATATCTTTCCGTGTTCGGCCAAGGCGCCTAGATGCACAGCTCCTGATATCAAGTCCCGCCGCTTCTGGGCATGAGAAGGAAAAGTGCCGCAGCATAGACACCGTGCTGTGACGAAGTCTGGTATAATTACTTGGATGAATCTCTCTAAATGTTGAGTTACTGTTGTCAGGAAGAAGCGTTTTTGTCAAGTCCAGTCATTGCAACTTTCGCCAGTACTATCCAACAAAAGCCGTTCTATTGAAAGTCCTTGCTCATTTACTCCAACAATCTTACACTACACGTCCTGAATATGAAGCTCATTAGTATCTTCGCTACGTGCCTCGCAGTAGCTGGTACCGCTTGCGCCTACAACGCTACTGGACCGGTGACCTATCTCGGAAGCCAGAGTAAACTCTTGTCTGGCGGTGCCACGGCCCAAGGACTGGTGTACACATCAGGGACAACCCCTTCATTCAACGGTTCTATAGTCGAAGGAGGTATCAAGAATCAAACCGTAAGCTAATAGTGAATACACCCCCCTTCATGAACGTGCTAACGTTTTGTACAGGCACAAATCATCAAGAACATCGAAGTCGTCCTCGAAGAGGCCGGGACGTCGTTGGCGAATATCCTCAAATGCACCGTCTTCCTTGCCGATATTGAAGATTATGCAGCGATGAACGAGGTGTATCAAAAGATGTTGCCGTACCCCAAGCCTGCTCGTACGGCCCTGCAGGTGGCCAAGCTACCTGGAGACTTCCTGGTGGAGATTGAGGCTATCGCAGCAATTCCGTACTATTAGAGATGATCCTAATATGGGGAAAGATCATGAATGATGACGCAACGTCAAATACTCAGACTTATATATACTATCTTACTCGATGACCATGGAATATGTCCTCGAGCGGCGCATGTTTGCTCTATTTGACTCTGTAATCTCTACAATCCTCTCATGAAGTGAAACCACAATATACCGACATATGCCCGCCTAGCTGCTGCTTCCGGCTTTCAACTCCTCTTCCACTTGCTTTTTGAGAAGCTCCCTCACATGCTCCCAGGAGTTCTCCACCGTCGTGAGCCGTTCCTGTTTCTGCAAGAGGCCACGGAATTCTTCAGGAAGCACCTTCGCCTCGAAATCGAAGTCCTTCTCATCCTCCAACGCCAGTCCGACAGCCGACGAAAACTTCGCCGGATGCGCGGTCGACAGCGAAATGTGCGAGACGTCCTTGCCAGCTCGCGAGATGGATCGTTCGGCAGCAGTGACGCCGACCGCAGAGTGCGGATCGAGGATGTACCCGACTGATTCGTAGTAGGCCTTCGTCGTCTGGACAGTCTGGGGGTCGCTCACGCGCTCGCTTTCGAAGGTACGGCGGCCGATTTCGAGGAGATCTTGGGGCACGGGCCCGAACTTGCCCGTTGTTTTGAGGGATTGGTACCAGGATGCAACGTCTTGTGCTCCTTTTTTGTTGCTCGACTCGTCGTCCATACCGTTGGTTAATGCGAATTCTGCATCCGATTAGCACATCCAGAGCGCAGACAGTGCTTGGTGACTGGTATCACTGAATAACTTACGTTTGGCAAGGTAGAACATGAGTCTCTCAAAGTTACTGGAGACCAAAATGTCCATCGCCGGACTAAGCGTCTCCTTGCAGCCCTCAGTGTGTGCCTTCACACCGTCTGTTTCCAGACCACCCTCTGCCTCCGCTCCTTTGACTGGTTGCTTCTCGTACGTACCGGACCTCCAGAACCGGTCGAGAATATCATTCCTTGGTTAGAATTAGCAATGGCCCAGAACAAGATCGTAATGCAGCTCACTCATTCGTTGCCACTAAAACAGATTAGCATAAATCATAGATAAAATCAGAATTCGAAAGAAGCTGTACGTACCGACCAACTTCTCTATTGGAAGTCCCATCCGCTGTGCAAAATATCCTGCAGAGATCATTTAGTCCCGGTCAATATATCGAGGCGGAGGGTCAAACCTGCAAGAATATTCCCAAAGTTCCCAGTGGGCACCACGAATCTGACCTTCTCTCCGATCTTGATGGAATTCGTCTTGACGAGTTGGAAGTAGGAATGGAAATAATAAACGATCTGAGCCAGGATCCTTGCCCAATTGATGGAGTTGACGGCGCCGATGTTCAAGCTTGAATCCGTATCGAAGTGACCGAAGATCGCCTTGACGATATCCTGAACACTCGGTGAGCGCATACCATAAGGACAATGCGAGTTCACTTACTTGACAGTCATCGAACGTTCCTTCAATCTCCAGGTTATGCACATTCTCGTCCAAAACAGTGACCATTTGAGCTCGTTGAATAGGGCTAATGCGCCCCTTTGGATGCAGGATGAATACCGAGACATCTTTCTTGCCTCGGAGTCCATAGATTGCGGCCGATCCAGTCTGTACACTCGGTTAGTAATCGTCTGCGGCAAGACTTGACAAAGAGCGCATACATCGCCACTTGTTGCTCCAACGACTGTCAAGTGATGTCTGTCTAGAGGCCAGTCAGTCACCGAGCGCGATTAACGATGTCAAGGATATCAGTGAGCCCACCTCTTCCTGCCTTGCCCTGATTCTTCCGGACTAGGAAATACTCGAAGATATTTCCCAAGAACTGCAATGCACCTACGTCACTGTAAGTCAATAGTCACTATCGACGATATAGCACACCTACAGTCTTTAAACGAATAGCTAGGGCCATGGAAGAGCTCAAGGAGGTAGAGATTATCCTTGAGATGAACTAGGGGCGTGACGTCTTTGGCCCGGAAAGTCGAGTAGCTTCGATTGAGGATGTTTTTCAGGTCCTCGGAGGGAATATCAACGGTCGATATATACAAGCTCAGAATTTGGAAGGCCAATTCAGTGTATGACAGGTCCTTCCAGCTCTCCTAATCCTGGATTTAGTCCCGGCACCCGCAAACAATTTGTCGCAGAATGATTCAACGTACCCAATCTGAAGCAATTGGAACCTCCGAGGGCAAGAAGAGGCCACCATCGGGGGCCAGTCCTTGAAGCACGGCATTCTCGAACGAAAGCTATGGCGATTTAGTATGCCGCTCAGATATCCCATAAGGAAAACGCACCCCGGAGGCGCCACCTCTGGTTGAGAGATAGATCTGACTACGCCCTCGCCCCTCTGAAATGGGGGCGTTACTCGACATGATTTGGAATGTACAATTTGCCGGAATGTTATGAATCTACCGAAGGCATATTTCCATTCAATTATGACTCTACACGATGCACGTGAGAATCAATTTTATGCTGTGGCGGTGCGCGATGTCGGCGACGAGGATGAGCGGGACGGAGCGGGGGCGCGGGATACCTGATGTTACCGAAGTAGAGCCGAGCAGACTCTTCCACCTGGATCCTGTCTGGTTCATGAATAGAGCTCAGAGCGCGCTAACCATGAGAAGAAATGGCCAAGCACCGCCGTGGACTAGTGTGGACGGGAGGGAAAGTCGTGTCCTATTTAACACTATTACTCCTAATTATAGCTACAGAGATACTCTATGCCTTCGCAAATCGCAAGGAAGACAAGTTAAAAAATTGAATAATAAATGGTTTGAGCTGGATGGATGAAACTAAGGGCACCAATCCGTAATCCAAGTCCTAAGTAATAAAGTAATACGTAAACCCCTGTGCAAAGGCGACAATACGAGATTCCCGAGGGTGAAAGCGAGTTCCATGGCATCAGTTTGTAGTATGAAGTATGAACATGTCAACTCACATGCCTAAACAAGCCATAGAAGCGAAACCATCCTGAGGAGCCCTGAAGAGATGATTGGCTAATAGGTTTTGCGAACGAATGGACAAAGTGTCAGGATGCCAGAAAAGATGTGTCCCTTTTTACAGAGACTGTCAGGTTTATTGGACAATTGGCCTGTCGATTCGGCTGCATTGTCCGTCCATCCCGACATCCCGAGGCCTGGTTTTGCTGCAGGGGAGCGATGAGCAAAGGGAACATGCCGGAGGTGAGTATCATCGGGCATGGAGTATGCAGGAGTATGGAGGGATTTTCACATTCTAGCATTTCATGATGGTGGACAGTTGGAGATTTGGAGGAGTACACTGTGCAGCAGTTGCAGAAGACTTGCAGGTTGTGCGGATGTCGGTGCTGTCCGTGCAGGCGGTGATGTAGCCCGCCCTGGGGTGTAGGCGTAGGTATTAGCTATGCACTCCCTAGCAACCGCCAACTTTGCTGCAAATTGCGATGGGTGACAGAGCTGGCATGCGTGGCTGAGTGGGCGACCAGGTCAGAGCCACTCCTAATTGGCTGGCACCCCCAGACGCCCTCAGCACCCGCCGCATGCGCAGCACTCCACCAGGAGTCCAGGACGCTCTCAGCACAGGACCGCTGTTCCCCGTCCGTCCTCTGAACCTTTCTCCCCCTCAAAACTAACTTCCCATCCATTCCGCCACGACACGGATGCCCTTCGTAACACTAAACTTATATCTTCCGGTGTTTCTCTTGGTGGGACGGACGAGTCGAGTCGCTGCGGGAAGGTTAGGACAGGAGCTTTGAGATTTTGGACTACTGTAGGTTATCCATTCTTCATCCTTTCTACTCGTGGCTTGATTGGCCGCTGGACGCTCTTGTCATGAGATCTTGCCGTGGCTCTTCACTTCCGCCAACTCTCATCCTGATGCTGACAATGAAAGGATTTGCAGAGAGCTCGGGAAGCCGTTGAAAGGTATTCCAATATATTCCATCAAACGAACACTCACCCCAATCGATTCACGCAATCCAATCACGTTGCGCATTTCCGATCGCAATTTTGGAGGTTGACTGTCGTTGAACTGCGATCGAGTTGTTGCCTTGACCTGGAGCTAGCTAGCTTCACCGCCACGTTTCGGCCTTGCGAAGAATCTATCACCTCTCCTCCGTCGCATTCTTGGCCAGCCGTAGCGCTTCGATCGACCTGAATATCTGACATTCGAATCGAGTACAGGAATAGGAACATACGGAAGGATCAGGATTCAGGATGTCTTCACTTTCGCGTCGTGCATGCTACAAGTGTGGCAACGTCGGCCACTATGCCGGTACGTCGAGCTGGGCTGGATGACGTGATGTCAATATTAACGGATAGACTAGAGGTCTGCTCATCGTCTGAACGACTTTGCTATAACTGTAAGTGCATGCGCCACCATGACAATGTCTCGGATAAGTGCTAATCGGCTCGTTAGGCAAGCAACCAGGCCACGAGTCCAACGCTTGCCCTCACCCACGAACGACCGAATGTAAGCATCTCGCAATTGGAATCCTTGATGGACAATGCCTGACACTCGACTAGCGAAGCAATGCTACCATTGCCAAGGCCTCGGACACGTCCAGGCTGACTGCCCGACCCTTCGATTGAGTGGTGCAACCAGTGGTCGCTGCTACAACTGTGGACAGCCTGGCCATCTAGCTGTGAGTGGGTGTGGGAGTTGATGAGTGCTGGTGTTCTGACAAGAAGTAGCGTCAGTGTACGAGTGCGGCCGCGCCAGGAATTGGTGCTGGACCCCCTCGTGGTGCGGGTGGCATACGCGGTGGCTATGGTGGCATGCGCGGTGGATTTGCCGGTGGTGCTCCTCGCGCTGCGACTTGCTACAAATGCGGCGGTCCCAACCATTTCGCCCGCGACTGTCAAGCGCAGGCGATGAAGTGCTACGCCTGTGGAAAGCTCGGTCACATCTCTCGCGACTGCACCGCCCCGAACGGAGGACCTCTTGGATCTGGAGCTGCGAAGACTTGCTACCGCTGCGGTGAAGTCGGCCACATCTCGAAGGAATGCCCTCAGGCTGGCGAAGTCAATGGGGACGGCATCCCACCCGTTCAAAGTGTGCCTGCGCCTACCGCTCCTGCGGTCGCCTAATTGTGCAGACCGATTATATAGCGCAGAGGCACGGCACAATTTATCCCTGTTAAGAGATATAACGCTACATCTTGTAGCTGGAGTGCATCAATTTCCTTTTCGATTCACTTTCCTACCTTATCACGATCGTTTCACCAATGCCCACGGTTGCCCTTACACCTTTTCCCGACACCGGCATGACGTTACACGACCCTCTACCACGTTGATGAGATCCCGATACCCATGCGTTTGCATCCCTTTTACACACCTCAAGGCCGGTCGACGAAAGGCCTGAGGTTTTCAGTCCTGTACTCTATCCATTCCAGTGAGGTTCGATCATGTATCATGGTCGGCGATCGGGCCAGGTTCCACTGGACCAACATCTGCGAGTATCCAACGAAGGCAAAGGATGGTGGAGAGCTGTGAGGGAAGTGACGGCAAGGTGACGAGACGTCACCCGAGAGCGAAGTTTCAGGCGGAGCTGGGGATAAGTTCAGATGGAAGGGAGATTAAAGAGTGAAGGTGGTGTTTCTGCATGTGTCGGCCAGCCTCTTGAAGGTTGTTTGGCATCCATCGTGATGCTTTTCGTTTTCCCGTTTTTTATTCTTCCACACACAGTTGGGCAAGTAGTTCTTAAATTCACAGTCGCATCATGGCCTATCTGACTATCTACTTCTGTCCACGTTGTGATTTTGACCTGCCCTTTGTCCGCCGTCCCGTGTTTGGTATCGCGGGATGCCCTACGAACTGAAATACATATATGTCCGCCCACGTCATTGCGATCAACGCGAATTATACTCGATGAATCATGTGAGCAGACACATGACTTTGGAACATCATATAGGGAAGGAGCCACCCCCTTTGGGTACTTCCCTGCCCAAGCTGTCAAATCAGGCCTCAGGCCTTGACATCGTCCCCAAACGGTAGGCGCGACCTGAACTGCCTGTTTCAATGGCCCTCTAGCAATTTGAATACCTCCCGTTTCGATACTCGTTCGAGGAACATCTTCACGAAGGTACTACATGTTCATTCATTTTGCCCATCAGATTTACTTTGTTTGAGTCGCTACATCACAGCGTCACTTTAACTAGGTAGCAGCATCGGATTCAGGGAGCATACTTTCGTGATCACCATGCCTTCTTCGGTGGTTAGCGACGAAATTGAAGACGTAGACTTCCCCAACCTTGAGAGGAGAATCAGTGATCTGAGGCAAAACAGGATTTTATCGTCGACATTGACGCCATCCAGGCCCATGGTATGGTTCTAACGGTTTCGTCGCGTACATGAGACGATTGACACGGTTTAGGTATCAATGCGGCGGATATCCAGAAGCTGAAAGTCAATGGATACTGTACAGTCGCAGTAAGTTCTGTGATGGCTATGGCCTCCTTTGGAGGCATGGACGATATCGAGCAGCGGCACAGAAGCTAATCAATCAGTCTGTCCATGCTGCGACTCGTCGTACGCTCTCCAAAATCAAAGGCTTCAGTGAGATCAAGGTCGACAAAGTCAAGGAGGCAATCACGAAATGCCAGGTAAGCTGAATCGTCGAGACTTGCTAACATGTCACACGGCTCACCTCGCTCTCAGCCTACAGCGTTCAGCTTCATGACGGCGATGGAACTCGGTCAGAAGCGGAAACGAGTTTTCAGGCTCAGCACTGGTAGCAAGAACCTAGACTCCATTCTAGGAGGGTAAGCCTGTCGCCACGGTGTCCGGACTATGCTTACCATTGTACAGCGGGTTCCAGAGCGCAAGTCTCAGTGAGGTAAGTTATCGACATGATTTGCTCCCTGACGGTTTCTGACTGATCTAGGTTTTCGGAGAGTATCGTACGGAATAGCTTAATTCGTAGGTACAATACTCTGCTAATTTGAACAAGGCTGCGGGAAGACTCAAATCGCCCACACTTTGTCTGTCATTGCTCAGGTATGGCCCTTGTATTGTTCATGAACGGCATCAAGTTGCAACTTGACTAACCCCATTCTACAGCTTCCCAAGGTAAACACTGCTTCTATCATTGAGGGATGTAGCAATTGTCACTCTAACCTCGCAAAGGACCAGGGTGGTGCTGAAGGCAAGGTTGCATACATTGGTTAGTGTCCGATTTCATACATTGAGAATCGCTTCGGCTCACAAGCTGCAGACACCGAAGGAACATTTCGGCCTGAAAGGTAAGAGTCCTACTCGCTCCTCGGTTACACTCAGCCTGATATTTACTCCACAAAGGATCCACCAGATTGCTGAGCGATTTGGCTGTAAGTGGCAGACCTTCAAAGACCCTTTCTGATGCGGACAACTTACCAACTGTTTTGAAGTGGATGGTGATACGTGTCTCGAGAATATTCTTGTCGGAAGAGCAGTGAATAGCGAGGTATCTTCCTTCGCTCCGCGGATTCGTCGTTGTTACTGACATAGTTTGCAGCATCTACAAGATCTGCTGAACCAGCTGGCGCACCCCTTCGCGTCCGGCGAGTATCGACTTATCATTGTCGACAGCATCATCGCTCTCTTTCGCGTAGATTTCTCTGGTCGTGGGGAGCTCTCTGAGCGTCAACAGAAACTCGGCCAGTTCCTGTACAAGCTCACGCGTACTGCAGAGGGTAGGACTTTTATCCAATAAGATCTTCTAGAAGACGCTAACATAAAATAGACTTCAACGTCTGCGCCTTCATGGTCAGTTCGACACGTCTTTAACTTTCGACAGTGCTGATCTCTTCAGACCAACCAAGTCCAAAGCGACCCTGGGGCTAGTGCCCTTTTCGCCGGTGCGGATGGACGCAAAGCCGTGGGAGGACATGTTCTCTCTCACGCATCAGCAACCCGACTGTTGCTCAGGAAGGGGCGGGGCGAGGAACGCGTTGCGAAGATCCAAGACTCGCCTGGTATGTATCGCTCTGTGGGTCTCCAACAAGGTCTCCGCTAATGTGGTTAAGACATGCCTGAGAAGGAGGCGACATACGTCATTACGCAGGGAGGCATCAATGACCCAGACAAGATCTAAACGGACTTTGCATCGGTTCTAGGGCCCAGGGGATGGACAGATACAGAATGATTTCCGAATCATCCATGAACATATTTGCACGGTGTCTCGAGGGTTTCAATGGCGCCGAGTCACCTCAGCTAATAGATCGAAAGGTTTGAGAATTTGAGGATGTCGGGTGGAGGGGTATCTGACGCCATGGGCACGATACATTTCAATGTCAAAAGATAGTGGTTGCGATTCAAAATATATCCTACACCTTCTCTATGCTCACTGAATCTGCCCTTCTTTCGGCGACTAGTGCAGCCTCAACCTCGATTAGGCCTTTCGGTCCCTCATATCCCCGTGTGCTCTTCCAGAACCACCATGCGGCTATAAAGATGGTCAACCCGCCGGTGATCAGGGACGCATAGTTCATCGTGAGAGCATCCACCGGCATAGCAAATGGAAAGCAGAATATGACGATGAAGACGGCCATGTAGGCGCAAGAGATAATGCCGAGAGTGTATCCGAAAACGCCTTTCAGCTGGAACGGCCCGGGAGCCACATTTCGTTTCCTCGTCAACATATGAGGCAGGATAGCAGACAGGTAGGACAGCGTGACCAATATTACAAACGAGCCAACAAAGGCATTGAACGCAGTGTCGCTGCCCACATATATACATGCCATGATCGAGCAAATAATCCCACATACAAGGGTGGCGTTGAATGGATTTTTCCACGTTGGACTGATCGTTCGAAGCCATCCGCTCGCGGGCGTCGCCGAGTCTCGTGCAAGCGTCCATAGCATGCGACCAGCTGTGATATAGCAGCCAATGCAGGTAACCAGCGTCGGCATGTAGATGACGAGCAACAAGCCCAGTGCGCCGCCTCGCGATGACGTGGCTTGATGGTAGATCTCCGCCAACGGGAAATTGTTGCTCGTGTTCAGGACCGCGTCCAGATCGTTGATGGAGTAGAACAGCGTCACCAGGTAGCAGATCGCAGTGATCAATCCCACGACCATCTGCGCGGCGATCGCCTTCGGGATGTTGGTTCGCGGATTCGGAATCTCTTCCGCCAGATGCGAGACGCAGTCCGGCGTGCCGACGCCATACGCGGCGTTCAGCATCCCGGTTAAAAAGGCGAATCCATCCGGCCACCCAGACATGTTCTGCCAATCTTTCCACACGAAGTGGTCGCTGGCGTGGCCGGTCCCGGTGGTGCTCGGCATGATGGCGCAGACCAGAATCGACACGAGCACACCGGCAAGGATGAAGAACAAGCCCATCTGCCCTACATACGGCAGCGCGCGGTTGGCGAACAGCACGACGGCGCAGCACATCCACGTGGTGATCAGGTATACGACGAAGACGTGCCAACGCTGGAACGCGTAGTCGGGATGGAACAGCGACCACATGGAGATGGTCTGGTTGGCAACGATGGACGACATGGAGGCGGCGCCGAAGATCCAGGCAAAGAAGTTCCACCAGCCGGCGAAGAAGCCGACCGGCTTGCCGAAGCGCGGGCCGGCGGTCACGGTGGCCCAGTGGTAGACGCCGGCGGAGGAGGGGATGGCGGAGGCGAGCTCGGCGATGCAGGCAGCGACCATCCAGTAGAACACGGAGGAGGCAATGCTATGTGGAAGTGAGTATGAGACGGTGGGATGTGAGTGGACGGATCGTACAGCTCATATAGAACTCCTGGAGGGCCTCCATTGTAGATGGCAATGGCAATTGAGCCACCCAGAGCAGCCCAGGTATTCCCAGTGGTTATACCAACCTATGGAAGAGTCAATTGCTTCCCTGTTGCGCCTCGCGTTCATTCAATCACATACCGACGCGACACTGAGTAGACTGAAGTTTCGCTCCAGCTCTTGGGCATGCCCACTTGCATTGACCAGCTCATGATCGTCCGTCCGGAGTTCGTCAGACGTAATCGCGGAAGTCATGGGGCCATCGACGACTTTCTCGTCCTTGTTTGCCATGTTTGCTGCTCGCGATGCATCAAACAAACAATGAGACAGCAATACACGCGGAAGATTAACGATGTCCACGCTCACAAACTTGAATGAAGAGGCAGGTGAAGAAGACCAGGTCAGATACTTACCTCCGTTTCTAACCAAACGATCTACGAAGCTACCGTTCCCAAGTTCTCGACTACGGGGAGAACTGCAGATAAGCATGGGCAAGATATTCCACAAGACCGTTCTCCCTCTCGACTACTGTACCCATCCCCCACTAATTCAGCGAACTAGTAGGAGGAACCATGATTCCATGAATGGTTATTGGATACAATTGGCTTCGAACCCCGCCCATGATCTCGAACTCAGGTTCAATCTCGCGTGGCAATTGGGCATCCAAGGTGGTTTATCGTCATGCGAGGAAGTGGCGCTAGAAGTGAAGGCTTCTGGATGCACGAAGGACTCTTGATCGGAGATAAGACTCGCACCAAGAGGTGGATGTGGGGTTAGTTCTCATCCAATGGGATTGCTAGGCGTGGCCCCGCCTCACACCCTAATTAGCTCATGGTTCGGCCGTGCTGATAAGACAAATCATGCGCCGAACTGGTGTCTGGTAATAACCGTTTATTTAACTTAACGTAATCCACCAGCGAGTCGCCCAAACCACCGAGTCGCCCACTTCATCTCCGTAACAGCGATCATCACGATTTTTTCGCAATGTCTCAACAACAGAGCCCTCAATTACCTTCAAATGAAGCTAGAATGAACCTAGCCATCCAGACTATCGAACAAGACCAAGTTCAATCAATTCGAGAAGCTGCAAAAGCTTACAACGTCCCGTGGAGTACCTTACGTGACCGCCGCAACGGAATGACTGCACGAAGCGATTGTGTCCCGAATTCGAAAAAGCTCTCAAATATGGAAGAAAGGGTGATTATCGACTACTGCCTCGATGTCGACGCGCGCGGATTTCAGCTCAATTACGATATGTTGCGAGATATAGCCAACAAGCTACTCAGCGATCGCGGTCAGGCTCACGTTGGTATCAATTGGCCGTCAAGATTCGTACAACGCGTTCCAGAGCTCAAAACACGTGTTAATCGAAAGTACGACTATAAAAGAGCCCTGAACGAAGATCCAGAGATTATTGGCGCGTGGTTTCGCCTCGTACGCAACGTGAAGGCAAAATACGGTATCCTGGATGAAGATACATACAACTTTGATGAAGTTGGCTTTCAAATGGGCGTAATCGGGACGCGCATGGTCATCACGGGTACCGAACGACGTCAGACTCCAAAAACCTTGCAGCCAGGCAATACAGAATGGGTGACATCGATCATTGCTGCCAGCGCGCAAGGTTGGATTGTCCCACCCTTCATCATCTTCAAAAGCGCTCGACATTACAATACCTGGTACGAGGCGATTGCGGATAGGCCTGATTGGGTTCTATCAGTTAGCGAGAAGGGCTGGACGTCCCTTGAGCATGGATTTGAGTGGTTAAAGCATTTTAATCGCTTCACAGAAGACCGTACGACTGGCGCCTATCGGCTTCTGATTATGGATGGCCATAACAGCCATGACACTATCCAATTCCAGGATTTCTGCAAGGACCAGAAGATTATTACTCTCTGCATGCCTTCGCATTCATCTCATTTGCTACAACCCCTCGACGTTGGCTGTTTTGGGCCATTAAAGCGCGCGTATAGCAAGGAGATTGAGGACTTTATCCGGTGCCGCATCAACCACATCACGAAAGAGGACTTTTTACCTGCTTTCAAGACCGCCTTCGAAAAAGCAATTGCTACGGAGAATATCCAGGGCGCCTTCAAAGGCGCAGGATTAGTGCCTTTCGATCCAGAAGCTGTTATTTCAAAGCTTGATGTCCGATTACAGACCCCGACGCCATTACCAGAGATCACTCAATGGGAGTCGCAAACACCACGCAACGTCGCTGAAATAAGGTCCCAAACAGAGTACATACGACAGCGCCTTCAAAGAGATCAAAATACCTCCCCAACACCGCTTTTAGAAAGCTTTTCAAGCCTTGAAAAGGGTGTTCAAATGGTCGCGCACGGAGCTTCAATCATGGAGGTCGAGATAGGAAAGCTTCGGAAGGCAAACGAGACGCTATCAAAGCGCAAACAACGCAAAAAAAAGGTGCTTAAGGGCGCTAATACGCGCTCAATTACTGATGGGCTTGAATTAGCTGTACAACGTCGGGATCAAGATATAATCAGTGAAAATGGTACTTCTAATGACGTTCCCGCAAGGCGCCAGCGACGTTGCGGACGCTGTCGCGAGCCAGGACATCGCGTTGAGACCTGTACAATGCCTCAATTAGCTATACCAGAAAACGTAGATCCTAGCCTACTTCCTAATTAATAAATTGCTTCAGTAGTTGTTGAGATATTCAGGTTACGGTAGTGGGCCACGGTTGAGGTGGGCGACTCGGTGGTTTGGGCGACTCGCTGGTGGATTACGTTAGTTAACTTAAGTTAGTTAACTTAACTTAACTTAACTTACAGTAACTTAACTAGTGCGAGATAAAATAACGTCCATTCTCCTATTCCATGAAGCTTTGTTAAAGATAGATACTCGATACTAACTCTATAACAGTCGACAGAACATCTACGTTATGATAGTTTCTTGCACAACACCATCTGTACATCCGGTATAGAGAGTCAAAGAAGCTTACCATAGTGGGGTTGTCCTGACGCACCCCCTGAAGAGCATCAGTATAGCTTCGTGAAGCTGGCAGAGAAGATCACATCGAGATCATATCCTTTAGTCGATTGGGGCCGCTCAGTTAGTAAAGAACGACCTCCGAATGAAATACTTCTAGTATAGATGGATTTTCCTGCGCGAAGTATCTGCATGTAGAATATAATATTCAGTGCGAGGCTACTGCTCTCTGCGCTGACCCTACCAATGTGATAGCTCATATTCAGTGTTTTCATGTCGTTGCCTACGACTCTGAATAGTTCACTTATTTCAGTGCGTACTTGGGTTTTTTTCCATATGAACTGCTCACGCTGGCTTTCACTCTTACTTCGACTTCTACTCTCACCACTCTTACTCCGACTTCCACTCTCACTGACTATCACTCTCACTCCTCTCTCTTCACATCCGATTCTCATCCCCTTGAGCGAATACTACTTCACCTTACTAACCCGACTTCACCTTGCCGCACTGAACCAACTCTACCGCACCCACTCTGAATTCAAAACACATCAGTCGAAGACCATATCACTTGGCAATCGAACTCTTAAGATGCCTATCCAGTGGGACGCCCAGAATGACGCTCTGGTAAGTGAACAGGGAAATCGTCCCACATTTGGAGATTCCCACTAACTCGATGAAATAGCTCTTCGCATGCATCGTCAAAGTCCAGCCGCTCACCAGGGATGCGAAGGAGAAGATCCTTGAGATTTGGCGTATGCACCCTCAGGACGTTGTCAAGATACCATTCAAGAAGCATACTGACTTCTACTGGCAGCCAACGAGAACCCCCTGACCATGCGCGCTCTAGAGCAGCATATCACCGCCGTCGTCAAACGGGGGATGAGTGGCGTCAACGGTGGCTCAGCTCAAGGAACACCTTCCAAGCCGAAGGCGACCGCGAATGGCAGTGCCACTGACGACGGTGCGAGGCCTACGCCCAAGAAGCGCGGCCGAAAGGCTAAGGATGAGAACGCTTCTGCAGGGCCGAAGAAGCGGGTGAAGCAGGATCCCAACGCTAATGGGTTCGCCGATGTCAATAAGGAGACAAAGGCGAATGGGTTCTCGGAGATCAAGAGTGACCCTGCAACTGACGCCGCCGATGAGGCTGATGTTGAAGAAGAGACTACCAATGGGGCGACGAAGCAGATCGTTTGAGGTGGAGGTAGGGGCTAAGTGATCTGTTCTATCAGTGCGCGGAGCGCTAGATGCGATGCAACAAGAGTAGTTATACATAGTATTGGTATAGTTGATGGCTGAATGCTATATTGATCCTCTTCTGAGGATGCTCTTATGAGATTGCTCATTGATTACTGATGCTGTCTGCTCCTTCCTATTCCGTTGCAGAGGTTATCATGGTCATCATCCATCCGTCCTTCCACATTGGATGCATAATGTCCGGACGGGTTGATGACTTCAGGGAGACTTTGAGCGAGATAAAGATGCAGCTGAGGATGGATGAGAACACGACTGGATTTACCTATTTACTGGGGGCATTTTGATACTCCCTTCCCCTCCACTTAATTACATTCTCGATTCATCTCCAGCTACGGAGCCGGGGTTATTCGGCAGTTGTCGGTTACACAAAACACCATCTCACCTCTGTCTTTATACACAGGTATGAATTCGATGCGACCAAGCATCCGTTTACTGCCTCTGTTGATTCGCGAATTTATCCAAGCTTGGAATCCGGACGTTCCGTCTCTTCGAGAACAGGCCGTTCTGCCACTACATATGACAAGTGACAAATACCATTTTTGTCTCATCAAATTCCTAACAGCAACTAATCTCTATCTGGAACCGCTGCTTTCATTCCACTTCCAATAAAGTGAGTGCCTCGGAATCTTGAATATGGCACATGGAGAACCCTGTTGTTGATCGGCCCTTCGATTGGTTCGACATCTCCTCCCAAATTAAGCTTAATGTAAACCTTGATTGACCTCTCTTACACGAAGCTTCCTCATTCTCGCTCTTCGGTCTTGGTCTCGATTCTGGAGATGCCCCGTCGTCTTCAATTCTCAAGGATCTTAAATAATGCGTATTCGACCTGTACGAGTTGTCTACAAACATTATCCTGCCACGCGCTCCTCGTCCCTCATGTTCATGTAGATCGGCTTAATATACGATTGGATAAGCTGGCAAGGTTCTTGACACTCAAAGATAATCGCTCGATCTCTCGCCCTATGTATATAAGTAAGTGGGAAATTCTCCGTTCGGGTCTAGAGAATGTTCCACCAAGCCTACTCTCTGCCAGCAGCCCATTCGCGTGATCGAATTCGCTCTTTCAACACTCCGAACAGTCGTCCTTGGTCAAATCTTTGAAACTAATCTTCAAGATGCTCGCTCTTGTCACTTTCGCTATGAGCCTTAGGTACGTCAAAGATGCCACCGAGTCCAAGGAATCCAGAACCGACGCTGACATGACACTTTCAGCGCTCTCGCCGCTTCCGCTTGCGCCGTACCGGTAGCCACTCCCGAAGCCTTCCAGGTCGGCCTCACCATCGAGGGGAACCCAGAAGTATATCTAACGCAGGCCGGCCTGACCACCAACTCCCGGGCCAGCGCCGCGACCTGCTCCATACTCGCCACCACCCAGATGAGCTGCGATGGCGGCGCCACCGTGATCGGCACCCGCAAGGTCTCGGACATGACGCAGCTCAAGGGCATCAAGCCAAGCGATGACTATATCACCACCGGATTCAGCGTCGATGCGGACAATGTCCTGCACTGGGTGAATTCTGAGTTCATGATGGACGTTCCCGAGGCGACCTGGGCCGTGTACAAACCGGATGAGTTCTATGCCGACATGGGCTGCCCCCATACGTTCCACACCAACAACATGGTGTGGGGGAAGATCAAGGTCTACCCAGTCAACGGGACTTCGACTTGATTTTCGAAAGGCGTCGAGGCTCGGCGTCGAGGCTCCCTCGGTGGTCGTGAAAGGGTGTTTCGTTTGGTCACGACAGCAAGACTTGCATTATCAGCTCCTAGGCAGATTTGCTAGGATTGGGATAGCATCTTGTGGATTTGTCGTGGGATACCCTGGGTTTCTGTTCATGTACATACTTCACCGAACAATAGACCGTTTGACGATATGGATCAATTTCTGTGATATACAAAATCGTTTGCGGAACCAATCTTCTATAACAGTGGACCTGCCATTGTCTGACATGAAGATCTGCTGCTATTCTTTCGCAGCTTATGCCGCCGCGCCGATATCCCACCGGACTTGGTCTACGCCGGTACCAGTCAGCATTGGGTAGTTTACCTGAAGGGATTCGGAGGACAATTGGATCTGCTCCAGCGCAATCCCATCTTGCTTCTGGTGTTGGTACCCGACCACTTGGACTCCGGTGAAAGTGTAGCCCTCTGATCGCTCATCAGCTGTGTTAAGTTTGCTAGTGTTGGAGGACCTACTATTCGCATTCTGAGACGAGCGCACATTCACGGTCGGGAACGTGGCAGAAGTCGTCATGGCGAGGAGTAATTCGCTCGAATAGACATCGACTGGGCGGATGATGGAGAACGGCGTTGTGAGGTAGGGTTTGGTGTCGGGCTGCCCCGATTCAAAATTGACGCCTCGAGCAGCGCTGAAGGTAAATTGTGATAACTGTTCACGTCATGTCAGTCATGGCCTGGGTATACCAGGGGATTTTTTGCGATTACCGGCAACGCAGGGCTCACGCCATTTGCAAAGAGGGTATTCGAGTTGGCGGTAGCGAATGTTGTTGGCTTGGAGAAGGTCACTGTGGTTTCAGTAAGGAGGGTATTAGCGTCGACGAAGCAGGCTCACCAGTATATGACTCTGCCTGACCGGCAACAAGAACGGCCACACTGCCCAGTAAGAGCACTAGATTGAATGTATGCATGACTGCAACAACGCGAGGTCTGGACTAGTTGAAAGACGACTCGAAATTTATGGAACAGATAGGAGCTGCGAAGACTGAACGACTAGAATCTAGAAAACACTCTTTCATCCAAGATATAAAGAGCCGACAACATTACTCACGGGCTGCTCTCCTCGAATTATCGACGTGAAGGTCCAGATGCCATTCGCATCTTCCGATAATAATATGGCCCAATTAATCTACCCGTCAAAACAGATACCCCCAGATTAGAAAAGTGGTCAAGTGACCTTCGTCCAAGGTCAACCTTGGATGGTAGGGTAAACTGTAACGACGCTCCTCGGGCGCAGAAATTTGATGATAGAGACCTTGATACAGAGCTTCAACACCCCGCAAACGATGATATGAACTCGATTATTGAGCTGATCGCGGCGCGAATTCGAAGGTCCAGGTACCATTCCGATTGAAGGATTTCCCCTTTGTGGAGAAATGGTCCTGGGAGGGCTCGTTCGGCAACATGCGATAGGAGGGGGTGTGAGCCCTACGGTATGACTTACAATTGCTATGATTATCATAAGTACTTATTGAGGTGATGAGGTCTACTGTGCTGCCGAGGTCAAAAACGAAGAGATGGACAACGGATAGAAGGGGGATGAGAATGTAGATTGCAGTCTGCACCCATAGCTCAGAAAGTGAGCTGGGCGAGAGCAAGGAGAATAGCATCAAAATAGAAAGAGGAGAATCATCAGGAGTTATGAGCGGTATTCTGGGTAGGTCTTAATCTACAACATGACAGGCTGCTTAAGAATTACTTAGAGATATCAACTCAGTACAACGCGTGAGAGTAACCTTACAAGCAGATGTGTAGAGAATACTAGTTATGGTTTGGAGTTTGAACGGATGACATGGACTGGATGGAGGAGATGGCAAGAAAGTGGCTTAGGCAGCTAAAGCACGTCCCAGCCACTGTGTAGGGACTAGGGAGCCCCTCGGATTCAGACGCGTCGACGGGATGATCGTGCGAATTCTAATTTTTATATGTATCCGCACTCTACTGTATTAGTGGGCGTTGATATATCTTTATGTAATGAGACACGTTATTCGACATGAACTTTCAATGATACGCTGGTCCGTTGATGCTGAACAGATAAAAGGACCCGGAGCCCCAGCCTGTACAGCGCGGTCGTCGCCATGCCTTTAAGACTCGGCACCGTCGTCGAATATGCTCTCCTTTCCATTCCAATATTCTTCTTCATCATATTACCCTTGGTTAGGTCATACCTGGAAGATAGTGGCCAGGATGCTGCGGTATCGATCTTTTCTGATAAACTAGAGTCGTTGGCGTATCCTGAATCCGGTCTCCAATGTGATGACCACCAAGTCAATACCCACATCTTGTCCAAAGATCCTCTTGTCATCTACATTGAACACTTCCTAAGTCCCTTTGAAGCAGACGAGATTATTCGCATAAGGTAACGATCTTTCCTATGATACCAAGAACCTATTCATAACGTCCTCAGTGCTCCTCATTTCACCCCCTCGACGACCTTCACTGGTGGCACGGAGAAGTTCGATCCCAGTGTCCGGAATTCTAGCAAAGCTCAAATCCCACGGACCAACCTCGTCAAGTGTATCGAATCTCGGGCTCGGGAATTCCAGGGCTGGCCACGAGACACCTTCATCGAGAGGTTATGGGCGCAACGGTACGGAACCGGTGGCCATTATGTTCACCACTACGACTGGGGACATGCGGGTGGGCGCCATTCCGGCCGACGTGATAGTAGCTTCATGGTGTACTTGAACGGCGGCTCCGAGGAGGAGCTCCAGGGCGGCGGAACCAATTTCCCTCGTCTAGAACCCCCGAAGATGGACGACGCGAACAGTGTGGAGGCGCGGAGGTGGTGCAAGTTCATTGAATGTGAGGGGGAGAAGACCGTGGCTGCTTCGAAGGTCGTTGATGGAGTCACCTTCAAACCGATCAAAGGCAACGCGGTATTTTGGCAGAATTTTCGGAGCGACGGATCGGGGTATGAAGAATCATTTCATGCTGGTCTTCCTGTCACCGCTGGGGAGAAGTACGGATTGAATATCTGGAGCTATCGTCATCCTGGCCATAGACCAAAAGTGCATTCACGCGATGAGGAAGAATCGGGAAGCGTATAGGCCAGAACAAATTCGGAGCCTTACCACGAAACTTGATACTTTAATAGATAAGGTATGATTACTCGTGCCGTAGCGCCGTGTAAGATGCTGTGTAAGATGCCGAGTGGTACGAAGTGGTTCAGTAGCTCCACGAACAGCCCATGGACCCCCGCTCCTCGGCCATCACGCAAAATGACAAATCGCACGCCATCCTCCAGAGTGGAGATAGGGATGGACAATTGACAAACAAAAGGAAAATATATTCCTGCAGGACGCATTGCGTGCATTGTTAGAGTACATCAATCAAGTCACTTGCAATACGGCATAGGTTGAATTATGGCATCTCGCAGCAATCCCTCCCCGCCTCCTGAGGACACGGAGCTCACCTCTGGCCAATCTCCCCCCATATATTCCCTTCTACGACCCTACGCTGCATTTCCCAAGAAGATTACCGGGCCTACGGTATGGACCAAAGAGGAGTACGAACAAAATCCAACCCGGTGGACTCATGCTTTTACTTCTCAAGAAATCAAAGAGCTTGGAGACGCGACAGACCAGTGGATTACGAGTGGGAAGCCCCTGGTGAAGATCACTAAAGTAAGTCGCCCAGTTCTATCTCGGCTTGCACGCCTGCCTACGAGAATGGGGGGCTGATTGGCTACAGGAATATTTCCCATTCCCCACGCTAGCCGGAGTTCTGGCCAACATCCGTCAAATCCTCCTAGATGGCCCCGGCTTCGTCCTGTTCAAAGGCATCCCCGTCGAGACATGGGGCACTCCCAAATCGGCGGTTGCGTATATGGCTCTCGGTTCACATCTGGGACACGCAGTATCACAGAACGGCAAAGGCCACATCCTCGGCCATGTCAAAGATCTGAATGAGGATGCGACACGGACGGACAAAGTCCGGATCTACCGCACCAATGCACGGCAATTCTTCCACACTGACGCTGGCGACATGGTCGGACTGCTGTGCTTAGCACGCGCGCTAGAGGGAGGCGAGAGCGACGTCGTGAGCACCCATAATCTCTTCAATGTATTGCAAGAGGAGAATCCGCGTGTCGCGGAGCTGTTGACGCAACCGATTTGGTACTTTGATCAGAAAGGGGAGACGAGCGACGGACAAAAGGAGTGGATCCGAGGCACAATGCTGTACATTGAACCCAAGGAGGGCGGTCGCGTCTTTGGAAGCTTCGATCCGTACTATGTGACATCGCTGAAGCGGTTCTCGGATGCGGGCCTGGTGCCGCCGCTGTCGGACGAGCAGAAGAACGCCCTGGAGGTCCTCGAATCCACGTGTCTGCGCCTCGCGCTCCACATGATCCTCGAGGTCGGAGATATCCAGTTCCTGTCGAATGCGCAAGTCTTGCATGCTCGCACTGCGTACAAAGACGCGGCCCCGCCGGCTCCGAGGCGGCATCTGCTCCGGCTATGGTTGAGTACACCGGAATATGAAGGGGGATGGAAAATACCGTTCGAAGACAGCAACCGGAGACTAAGAAGTGGGATACAAGTAAATAGAACACCGCCAGTCGCCAATCTCGAGGCAGATTGAATGAATCCACTTTGAAGCGCAACATCACAAAGTCGTTCCAAGGGTACTTACAATCCAAGACGTGACGAGCTCAAATGCGTAGTCATTTTGTATTTCGAACCACTTTTGCTTCGAAACTGGACATGTACACTCTCTATGTCCCTTCGTTCCATCCAAAACCCGCCTTGGCGCCATTGCGCTCGTTGCTTCTCAGTCTTCTTTTAGCCGTGACCGATGAAGAACGCCGTACCATCTGAAGAATGCGGCTACACGCCCGTCCGTCCGTCCGAGCGACCCAACAAATTCGTGATTACATCATGAGAATCCCGGACACCGTCCAGGCAAAGTCAAGCTTCCGAAACCCCCATCCGCCTCTAAAACCCTCTGCCACGGCCCCGGCCTCGTCCCCTTCCACGGCCGCCTGCCCGAGGCGCTCCTCTCCCGCGTCCGCGATCGCCCTGCTCCTTCCGCGCCTTGTTCTTCGGTTTCGGCGTGTCATCGACGAGGAGGGTGTCGAGCGGTAAGCTGTCCGGGAGGACGATATATCGGATCGTGGAACCGCGGACGTTGATGGTGTCGAGCGCCATGGGGTCGCGGCCCTTCATGGTCATTTTGACGGTGCGTAAGGCGGTGTTCATTTGGGGGGACACGGATGCGATGGTGCCGTTGACGGTGGTGCCTAACGACGAAAGGTGAGCGGCGGATTCAAAGCAAGGCCAATCAAGGATCTGGTCGGGTTTTTTGTTGAATGCACATACCATTCTTCAGCTCAATGGTCACCGTCTCATTTTGGCATTTCATTAAAAACCTAGAAGAGATGCGTTAGCTGCGGGCGCGTGGTTCCCAGGGCAGTTGTACGGGCGCCTTACCGGACGAGCTTCATGATAGCGGTGAGATTATGAATCCGGTAGAATTAATGTATGGAATGGTGCGCGTATACCAAGGTAATTCGGTGTCAGTGAAGGCTGAAGCTTGAGGTGGCTGGATTGTGATATTGGATTGTGATACTGGAACCTTCCCAGCTGTCGCATGCGGTGAATTTTGACGTTGGAGGTTGGACGGCAAGTGCCGAACCCTGTTCCAATGCTCTCCGTTTACTCGTCTCATTTCGAGTTGGAGACATCCACTACCGTAAGAATACCACGAATTTCAAAGTACTTTCGAATTACCGCAATTGTTTAATTAGGTTCATCTATGCCTTGAATATGGTAGAACTGATAGAATAAATATATCCCAAGCCTTCTCACAAGCCTTACCATACATATTGATATCATTCTGCGCCCGATCCATGAGACTGCTTCCGAAATCCTGGTCATTCCGAACAACGGCCTCTGCGATACCGGAATATTTGAGATAGATACTGAAGCCAGTTCTCCCTGCTCGAGAACAGCCCCATATTTGTTCTACACAGCGGTCGGCGCCTCTTGATCTCGGTTCAGACCATGACATCTAACTCATTTCCGCTTTCACGATCGTCATCAGACCCTGCTTCCGCTTCCTCCTCATCGCCATCCTCACACTCCTCTTCCTCCTCTTCCTCCTCTTCATCGTCCTCATCGCCATCCTCTTCAGACAAATCCTCCTCCTCCAAAGTTCCCAGTGCCTCTTCTCCAGAGTGCACCAGCATCCCAATGTCCGCGCTGTCCTTCAGTATCTTCCGTGCTTCCGTCTCGTCCACCCCCAGATCGTCCATGATCAACCGCCATCCCACCTCTGGCACCATGACTTCCTGAAGGTACGTCACCGTCGCCCTCCCAACCAACTTATCTTTCTTCCGCGCCTTGGCGAGCGGTGCCTGCAGCAAGTCTTCCAGCTCGTCTAGGATCATCTGGGCTCCACGGAGACCGTAGTACCCAGGGGTCAACCCTTTCAGTAGGTCATCTGCTGCGTTTCCATCCATCCCCTTGTTCCTTCCCGGCATCAAGTACGCTTGTGCAGCTGGCATGTGGCCGTCCACCGCAACTCGCTTTTCGTACCGGTCGCGGACTTCGCTGGGAGTCTTCCGTTCCAGCACCTTGACGAGCTCCGTTTTGTGCCGCGCGACGCGCATGCTGAGCGATTCCCAGTCGATCTGCGGGTAGCCTTTCGCCACCCATTCTTGCGACGCAGACTCCTGCCGGTGGATTCGATGAAGTAGGGCTTGCATCTGGTATGGCCAACGCATGCTCGCCGCTGCTAGGTAAAAGTCTGTAGAGCCGCCTTTCAGGAACGATTTGCCATGATTTTGCAGGAACATTTCGAACAGCTCTGCGGGAATCGGAGACTTGCAGATCAAACATGTTGGCCCGGTGAATTCCTCCGGGGCCTGGATTTCATCAGAGGAGACCTTGATCAGTGGGCTTGGTGACGAGCTCAGTCGTTGGGGTGACAAAGGCATTTCTTGGATATCCTTAGCAATAGAAGGAACGTTGAAATGAGCACCCGGAGGCGGTTGGAAAAGTGCGTCGGGATGTACTCGGAACTGAGCTGCAGTGTGTAATGCGGGTTTGACATCAGGGGGGAGCTGAATCCGGGCGGTGGGAGCTCCAGACTCGGGACGAGTGGTTAGAGGAGGCTTTATGAACTTCACAGCGTCCACGGAGCCGTCGTCCACGGAGCCCCTTTTCCGCTTTCTGGGACCACCGTCTCCGTTTTCAGTTGGACTGCTTGAAGACTCCTTATTCCCTGGTTTGAACTTTGGGGTAGGTCCACGGGCCTGTTTCGGAGGTTCTGATGGCGCCTTGAAGCGTGTCCCTGCAACTTTCTAAGTCCTATTCTTGAGCAAGGAGATTGTCATCATACCATTCTGCGAAGGATTTCGACCCTCTCCGTTACTTCCAGCACTCGATTTCTGCGATCCTGAGCGGATGTTTCTCAAGGGAGCACTACGTTGAGACTGGCTTGATCCATAGATTCGGCGGCCTTGGCTACCATTCAGTCGGTCCGTGTTCCAGTCCGACATTCCGGTGTCGTCGGCATTGCTATCTTTGTTTTTAGATTGCGTGTCTTTTCTTGCCATTTGCGTTACTACTCTTTGGCTTCTGGTCTTTTGGGGGGAAGGCTTTCGGCGTTGCTCTTCCTCCTCTTCCTCAGATTCACTCTCACCTGAGGGTTCTGGGGAGGCATTGATTGAGTGATGGTCCACCAGATTTCTTAACGAAGGGTGTATGCTCATCTTGGATGTGTCGACAGCTTGACCGCCGACGAATTGGAGTAAGGGACGGGTTATTCGAGGGAGTCTTGGCATTAATTGATTGTATTCATTCCCAATTGTGATGGAAGGCAGACGATGAGAAGTTGAGATGTTTTAGGTCAATTGTAGTACAACAGACTACACGAACGTTGAGGGGTGCTGCCAGAGGGACATGTGAGTTTAGCAGAAGTGAGATTAGGAGCAGTAAAGCTGAACATATATTACGCTACCTTGGTGATAACATGTTATGTACTTTCGTAAAAAGCGACAGAATCGTCGGAATTTCCGGCAAGTTCAGGGAAACGCGTCAGAAACACGTTCGTTGAGCTGTGTTGCGCTTGGACGCAGAGCTGCTCCGGACGACCACAACGACCACCCCGACGAAACCGGAGTGGTTCAATTTCTGCTGCCAATCGATGGATTAAACAGTCGACTTCATTGTCAAATACCACAGGGTGCTCCGGCGAAACATAAAAAGTTCATTCGACCAAATCGAATTCAGATTGTACAAACTGTACAGGGTATCAAGCTACTTTCCGTCCGACGTTGCCCACTCCTTTGCCTACGACACTGACAATCACCGTGTCCTCATCGTCGGCATCTCTCATGCCCCAAGCATTCATACCAAATGACCTGAGGTCCCTTCCAAGAGCAATGACTTCTTCCGATCCGATCACGCCTTTTCCCATGCACACTCTGCCCACATCTTCCGACCCCATCGCCATGAGGAGTAGGAAGGGAGGTGCCGTCGTTTTCGAGAGACAGCCACCTTGACTGATGACTTCCAACAACTGGTGGGTGGCCTTCCGCCCCACCTCTTCCGGTGTTTCGCCTCCTTCAGACGGAGAGGCGCAATCGGCCGAGTACAAGGCCCCAGACGATGTTTCCGCCACCAGTGAAAGCCCGAAGCCCAATCCAGTTCTCTTTCCGCCTCCTTTTCCTTGTTGATTTCCACCTCCTAGGAAAGGCGCCGATGCGACGTCCGAGTATACGTATGTGTCTGGACAGAGCGGGTTCAAAATTCCCCGTGCGACCTCGATCATCCTCGCATTGCTGCCGCCTCCAATCCCCACCCCATATGCCACGCCTCTTACCCGTCGGACTCGGCCTGGCACCATCATATGGACCGTCTTCGGGAGCCGGACCTGTGCAATCTTCCCAAACACAATCTGCACTTCACCGCCTCCACCGCCCCCTACGCCTCCCCGGCAGGCGCGTTTCAATACCCGTATTTCCACGTCGCCGCGGATCCCGAATCGTTCGAAGAGCGGTAACACCCCCGTCCTGACGGTGTCGATACTAATGTCCTTCTCCGTTGCGCCCGTGATCACTCCCGGTCCGCCCAAGATGACATTCACGGGGGATTTCGCGAACGGCGCAAGCAGGCACACCGGCAGCGCCCAATAGCTGATCCCCCTCCTCTCCGTGCTTGGCGGCGCCTCGATGTCCAGCCGCAGCACGCCCGACCCATCCGCGCCATAGCCCGGCGGCGTTCCGATGATGAGCCCCGGCCGGTAGAGGAGGCTCGTCCCCGTCATACTAACTTCGACGTGGGTTCCATTGGTGAGCGAGGTGAGGAGACGGAGGAGGGAGATTTCGTAGGATTGAAGACCGGGTGCCGAGCGGGACTTGGATCGGATTTGGGAGATGTGGATGGAGCGGCCGGTTAGGGTGGAGAGGAGGAGGCGGGTGGGAAGGGCATCGTGCCCGGTAAAGCGGAGGGGAGGAGGGGCGGTGGAGGGATCGCCTGGTGCTGGCATTTTGAAGATGGATTTGTTCTGGCTATCGTGACGTGGAGCGCATTGTCATCTATGGGGTTCTCGAGTGCCTTTTTTGAAGGGCGTGTGCAAAGATAATTATCTTGATTATTCTTCTTCATGTATCGCATTCGAAAATCCACTTTTAAAATTTTGGGCCTGGAACTTGTCACGTGCAGCATGGCATTTCGACGTCACTGACAATTCCAAGACAGACAACTAGTGTTCAACTTCTCGATCAAACACCGATGGTTGGAGTTTGACTTTTCCGTCCATGAGGAGAAGTATTCCTTTCAATTGAATTGTATAACAGGAATGGTTTAGATGCAGGATCCTGCAATTGCCTTGAAATGGTTGAGACAGATACACTTCCAATATAAAATCCATCCTTCGTCCACCAAAGGACTACGCTATAATGCTGACCAGTGGCTTATGCTGCTCGCATAATACCTATCCCAATATAGTACGACAATATCAAAATAGGAGATAATACGACTACAATCGATTGGACATGCCATGGATATCTGTATAAGTGGCTGAGAACGCAATCAGCATACAATGCCCCCAGATGAATCTCCACTTCAGAGTCACTATTGCCACCGCATGCACACAAATCACAATTATTAATTCGGACAGCTAGATTACTTCGTATATTTCTCCAGACCCCAAGTTCGAGCATCTTATCCTCACCCTAGAATTTCATAAATCATCAATCCCTTGTATTCTTTACCTCTTCTCAACATCTCAGGGTGACCCCACCCCTGCAGCGAGCCAGCGACAGCCCCGCCGCTCATGTCATCCTGGTCCTGGACCCCGCAATCAACCTTGAAGTATGAGATGCCGGCCCCATCTAACATGGTCGCCGATAACCCCATCAACAACTCCAAATATGCCTGGACGAAGCCAATGGCATTGCACCTATCGAACCGAAACCCATCCCTTCACGATGATGGAATGACCAACGAGTCGGGCCAAGCTAGTCCCCGGAGCCGAGTCGCAGCACAGCTTGCGGGGCTCAATCTGGCCATCGGGCTCCCGATATATTCCCCGATGAGTGATGTCACGCTCCCGTCGCCTGACCAGACACCGCCCAAGGGCTCGAACGAAGAAATGGGGGGCTCTTCTCATAACCTAAATGGAAATTCGGCCGAATCGAGCATCTCCCCGTCCGCACCGCCTGCATTACTCCGCGAACGCCTTGACGCCCTGGATGGCATCAAGATGAAGCGGAAGACCCCCTCTCCCGACCCCTCCGACCCCCCCACACCGACATCCATGGAGCCATCTCAGGACCCGAAGCAGAAGCACGTCGCCTTCGCCCTCTCCGACACCTTCAGCACGGCCGAGACCTTCCACTCTCCTCCATCCCCCACCCCCGCCCCACTCTCCCTGACGTGGCAAGATTTCGAAATCACCGGCCACCTTGCCACCGACCCCGACGATGACGGCACCGGCATCAACGGCGTCGGATTCAAACCCACCGCGCAGATCGAGGCGGAGCGCCAGCGGAAGCGCCAGGAGCAGCTCGAGCGGTATCGCGCCCGCATGGCGCGCGAGGAGCGGGAGAGGCGCTATGAACGTCGGCGAGCGATGCGGGTGGGAAAGTCGCGGAACCAGTCGCGGAATAGCTCGCCGTTGAAGACGCATGCGGCGCTGCGAGGGGCGTCGAAGTTCGCTGTTTAAGGGGTTAGCTTGCATGGGATGGCGTTGGTTTGTACCGTATTGGGATGGCGGAAAGTCGTGTGGCGTAGGGAATGATGACGAATTTGGGCGATATTGCACATGAGCGGGATTGGAGGCGTTGGATTTGGATACCCGGGTATCCGCTTGAGAATTCATGGAAAGTGGTTCGTCGAAGGGGGTGCCAAAAATCGCTCAGCGGTGAGCACTTGCGCCGGTAGTCAACTTCAATCCATGACGAAGCGTTAGTGATCGATGCACACCTGTATCGTCGAGTGAAATTGGCGAGATATCCCTTCAAATGATGCAGGACTCCATGAAATGCATTCAGTGACAATGGTATACAAAAGTCGAGACATAGATCATGTGGAGGTATGAGCCGCCCGCTACCAAAACTTCCACGTCGATTTCCGCTTCGCTTCTTCTCGTCGTTGGTCTTCCTCCTCTTTGGCCTTTCTCCTTGCCGCGCGGTCCTCCTCGCGTTTTTTCTCCGCGGCGATTTTCTTCTGCTGGGAGATGTCCACGGCCCTCTGCATGTGGCTCTTTTCGAGGCGGTTTTTGTATAGGCAATAGGGGAATACCAGCGATGACGTTCCCGCAGAGGTTAAGACACCCCAGGTCGCGGCGCCTTTGGACTCTACAGTCGAACGATGAGTAGATTGTTCACCACGGCATTGGGACTACTTACTCCGCATGATCAGCCGCAGGGCGGTCATTCCGAAACCCATCCCCAATCCAGTCATGAAGGCATTCCGAACACAGCGGGTCCGAATAGCAACCATGAAGTTGTCCACGCCCAACATCTCCATGGCATTCCATACGTTCTTCTCCACCGGATCGTTTTCGTCGGGCTTCGCTCCAGGCGCCCGCGGCTTCGCTTCCGGCATCCGGTACTTGGGCATCTCCTCCTCCGTCAACCACACCTCCTGCGATTTCCCCGGCGCGCGTGCGCGGTCCAGCAAGGACCACACGCCATGTTTCGGCTTCGTGGTCGGCCGCTCGTACTCTGGATCGAAGGGATGGAGTTGGGTTGGGTCGGTTGGGCGCTCGTAGTCCTTTTTGATGTTCGATCGACGCGCCGAGGTCCGTCGTTCGACTTCCCGCCTCTGCTCCTCCACATGCTCTCCTTGCTGACTGGTATCATCCGCCATATTTACAATGTGTGTCTAGTGGCGGCGAGTATGGTGAGATTGGCTACGCCGACTGTTCAACCCAAAGATGTAGTTGAGATGCGGTTCTGCTATTCTGCAAGTAAAAAAGACGCTAACCCATAATAGGCATAGTTCCCGAAACCATGCGACAGGGGTCCAACCTCGACGCGTTTCGGCGTTTTGGCGCGTAAAGAGGAAGAGGAAAGACGCGATGTCCATCCACCACTTCACGTCTTCCGCTTACTGTAAAGAACATCAATTTCATGCTTTATTGTGCCTTCAATATTTGTGATACTCCATTTCATTCTGCATCGCAAGGAGTTCAGGTGGCTCATGTTTACAGATCATGATACATCCGCAATAGCATTTTCATAGTACTCCATCTCCTTTGTCTTCGACCTTACTGATCCCCCGCGTCACACGACAACCAAGATGCCCACTCGCCGGCCGAACCAGCCATACAAACGACTCGGAAAAGATGGGAGAACCTCCTATGGCCCACGGACACAAAGAAGAGACCCCATATCACTCGGGTCCCTGAGACGCGGAGAGGAAACATCGCAGAACGACAAATTTGAGTCAATCCGACTTGCACACTCAATAGACGAAACCTTCGGATTTGCCAGATATGATGCCGGACGCAAAAAGGAAGGATGGCTGTGTAACTTCCACAGCACCACCATACAAGATGACAACGTCCCCGGAGGTCGAGCTGCAGTGGACTTCTACTTCATCGAGGAGGATGGAAACACCTTCAAGGCAACTATGGAGTACGATCCGTATTTTCTGATCGCAATTCGCCGAGGAAGAGAAGGTGAAGTGGAGGAATGGTGCCGGCGGGCATTGGATGGGGCACTCAAGGATGTGAAGCGCGTGGAAAAGGAGGATTTGCAGATGGTATGTTGCGGCACCTCGCTCGAGGCTTGAATGTCGCCCGGCCTAACGGGACACAGCCAAATCACCTCCTTGGGTATCGCCGAGTTCTCCTCAAGCTCTCTTTCGCAAACGTCTCCGACCTTCTCACGTCGCGGAAGATCCTGATGCCAATCGCCGAGAAGAACAAGAAAAGAATGAACGCGATGGACACCTACGCGGAGGTGGCCAATGCCAATGCGGGATTCGATATATTTGATGATGAGAATGCTTATGAAACACGAAATAACGGCGTAATTGACGCCAGCGACTTCATAGTGGACATCCGGGAATATGATGTTCCTTACCATGTTCGAGTGGCTATTGATCTCGGTATGATGGCTGCTTTCCCTCGAGTCAATACAGCATACTAATCAGACACAGATGTTCGGGTAGGAAAGTGGTATACGGTCGAGGCCAAGCATGGAGTTGTATCAATGAAATGCTTGGAGGAACGACTGCAGCGTGCCGATCCGGTCATCATGGCCTTCGATATCGAAACGACCAAACTGCCCCTGAAATTCCCCGATGCCGCTATCGACCAAATTATGATGATATCGTACATGATCGATGGGCAAGGATTCCTTATAACGAACCGCGAAATTGTTTCGGAGGATATTTCTGACTTTGACTACACCCCGAAGCCCGAATATGACGGCCCCTTCATGATCTTCAACGAGCCCGATGAGAGAGCGCTGCTCCAGAGATTCTTCGAGCATATCAAGGAGGCGAAACCCACGGTCATCGTCACGTACAACGGTGATTTCTTCGATTGGCCGTTCGTCGAAGCGCGAGCAAGCGTGAATGGGATGGATATGTTCCAAGAGATCGGTTTCAGGAAGAATAATGAGGAGATCTACCATTCCGACTATTGTGCCCATATGGACGCATTTGCGTGGGTCAATCGAGACAGCTACCTTCCCCAGGGCAGTAGAGGCCTGAAGGCGGTCACTGTCGCTAAGCTTGGTTATGATCCCGACGAATTGGATCCAGAACTAATGACACCGTAAGTGGTTGTAATCGGTATTCCGCGCTGTTGCTTACATGATTACAGATACGCAAGCGAGCGACCTCAAACCCTCGCTGAGTACTCAGTATCTGATGCAGTTGCCACCTATTACCTTTACATGAAATATGTGCACCCCTTTGTCTACTCTCTTTGCACGATAATCCCCTTGGGACCCGACGATGTGCTTAGGAAGGGCACGGGGACACTTTGCGAGATGTTGCTGATGGTTCAAGCCTACGAAAAAGGGATCCTCCTGCCGAACAAGCACAAACCACCGAACGAGTCATTTTGGAACGGGCATTTGCTCGAATCCGAAACATACGTTGGTGGCCATGTCGAAAGTATCGAAGCAGGCGTCTTCCGGAGTGACATTCCTTGCAACTTCGCCATTGACACTGCGGCAATCGATGAGCTGCTGCTGGATCTTGACGCCGCCTTGACGTTCAGCATCGTTGTTGAGGAGAAAAAAGCTTTAGAAGATGTTGCAAACTATGAGGAGGTGAAGCAACAGATCAGGGAGAAGCTTCTTGAACTCAAGGAAACCCCGAACCGGCACGAAAGGCCATCGATATACCATCTTGACGTCGCTTCTATGTACCCGAATATCATGACAACGAATCGTTTGCAACCCGATTCGATGATCAAGGAGTCTGATTGCGCTGCATGCGACTTCAACCGGCCTGGGAAGACCTGTGATCGACGGATGCCATGGTCATGGCGAGGAGAATTCCTACCTGCGAAGCGGGATGAATACAACATGATTCGACACGCACTGGAGAACGAAAGATTTCCGGGCAAATACCCGAACAACCCACTGCAGACATTTCACGAACTGCCAGAACCGGAACAAGCCGCGCATGTGAAGAAGCGACTGACGGACTACAGCAAGAAGATCTACCATAAGATCCACGCAACTGAAACTATCGAACGTGAAGCTATCATTTGCCAGCGAGAGAACCCATTCTACGTGGACACTGTGAAGATGTTCCGAGATCGACGTTACGACTTCAAAGGCAAGCAAAAGGTCTGGAAAGGCAAGACGGATGCCCTCAAGTCGTCCGGCGCATCTGCTGCTGAGGTGGACGAAGCGAAGAAAATGATCATCCTGTTCGACTCCCTGCAACTGGCCCACAAGGTCATTCTTAACAGCTTCTACGGCTACGTCATGCGAAAGGGTTCTCGATGGTACTCAATGGAGATGGCGGGAGTTACGTGTCTTACCGGAGCTCATATCATTCAAATGGCGCGTACGTTGGTCGAGCGGATTGGCCGTCCACTTGAACTCGACACCGACGGTATCTGGTGTATTCTTCCTGCGACTTTCCCGGAGAACTTCGCTTTCAAACTAAGGAACGGCAAGAAGTTGGCGATATCCTATCCATGTGTCATGCTGAATCACCTTGTGCACGCGAAGTTCACAAATGATCAGTATCAGGAGTTGAAGGACCCGGGAACGTTCCGTTATGAGACGCATAGCGAGAACTCGATCTTCTTCGAGGTGGATGGCCCGTACAAAGCAATGATGCTTCCGACATCGAAGGAGGAGGACAAGAACTTGAAGAAGCGATACGCCGTGTTCAATCACGATGGCACCTTGGCGGAACTGAAAGGGTTTGAGGTCAAACGCCGTGGCGAGCTGAAATTGATCAAAATTTTCCAGACGCAGATCTTCAAGTTCTTCTTGGAAGGATCGACGCTCGCCGAATGCTACGGAGCCGTGGCACAGGTCGCGAACCGATGGCTGGATGTCCTGGATCAGTGTGGATCGACTTTGGCGGACGAGGAGCTCATCGATCTGATTTGCGAAAACAAGAACATGGCCAAAGCCTTGGACGAATATGGCGCGCAAAAATCGACCGCCATCACCACAGCCAAGCGACTAGCCGAGTTCCTAGGAGAGCAGATGGTGAAGGACAAAGGTCTCAACTGCAAATACGTTATCTCCTCAAGGCCGAAGCACGCCCCTGTTACCGAGCGAGCCATTCCAGTGGCCATCTTCTCGTCAGAGCCGCAGACGAAACGCTTCTACCTTCGTAAATGGCTCCGAGAAGACCCGAAGGACATGGACCCACGAACGATCATCGACTGGGACTACTACCGTGACCGTCTCGGATCGGTCATCCAAAAGCTCATCACCATTCCCGCGGCGCTACAGAAAGTCAAAAACCCCGTGCCCCGTGTACCGCATCCGGAATGGTTAGATCGCCGCATCCGCAACAAGGAGGATGTCCTCAAGCAGAAGAAGATGACGGACATGTTCGACGCGGCCAAGAAACCATTGGATGACGCGGATATCAACACCCTGCAGAACCGAGTGGTGGATCTCGAGGACTTTGGGTCGACGCCGGTGGCCAAAACGAAGAAAGCCATCGCGACCAGGATGGTTCAGAAGCGGAAAGCCCCTGAGCCTGCCGTGCCCGTGCAGGCCGATCCGTTTGCTGCGTTGCCTCCAGTCATGCCGTCGATCACGAAGGATTACGAAGGATGGCTTCGATACCAGAAACAAAAGTGGAAGATCCAGAAGCAAGCGAGACTTCGACGGCGTCAGTTGTTCGGCGATCGGCGCACAGATCCAACTGATGCCATTGGAAGCTACTTTAGGAATCAATCGGAGATGCTGTATATCCAGAACTGGCAGCTTGTGCAGCTCCAGGAGACTGACATACCTGGAGAAGTGCGGGCATTCGTGCTGATTGACAAGAAGATCCACTCGTTGAAGGTCATTGTCCCCCGAATTGTCTTCCTGAATCTAAAGGGAAGCGAACTTCCTGACGTTGAGATTGAAGGTTGTGACGTGGAGAAGGTCGTTGGCTTTACTCTACCCAACAGCCACCCCTCTGTTCATCTTTTCAAGCTCACAATGCCCGAAACGGTGTACCTTCGAGAGTCCAAGCAACTTTCCATCCTCTTCAACCATCCTAGTGTCGAAGGTGTGTACGAGCGACAGCTGCCCTTGAACATGCGAGCAGTTCTCGAGTTAGGGAGTGTCTGCACCTTTGATGAAACCCAACGAGGCGTTCTGGGGAAGGGGTTGGAGCAGGGCTTCGATCTCAGTGCATTGCGGCAGGTGGCAAAGCCGGATCCGTATCTCGCTCAAGCACAGCTGAAATTCCTTTACCTCTATCATGTCAGTGTCGGGGATCGGCAGGTGTTTGCCATCTGCTCCAGTACCGGCACGCAGGGACACATCATCATCCTCAATCGAGGACGTGACACTCAGAGTCTACCGAATGTCGACAAGCTTTATAAAGATGCGTACTCTAAACGAGTCACTGAAAGTGCCGAGGATCAGTCATGGCAGCAGTGCTTCGAGTACCAGACCGACATGCACTTCAAGACCACCCAAGTGACGACGAAAAGGAAGGCATACCTAGAACTCGGCGACGCAATGAAGAAGATGCGGAACGACGAAAAGGAAGGGAGCTTCATCCTTGTCGTGCAGAGCCAGCACCACCGACTTCTTCCTCACGTCGTGCCGATCATGAAGGAGTTCCCTAATCTTCCGTTGAAGTTCGATGAGTCGGACAAAAACCTTCCGCCCCTGGGCTGGCAGACCTTCGTTGCGAAGCGGCTGGTCACGCACTACCTCACCCTTGGTGCGTGGGTATCGCACCTCATCGAGCTCGCCCGATACGGAAACGTTCCGCTATGTAACATGGAAGGGCATGACCCTCGCTTCCTGATCGATGTGGCGTATGCTCGACGTCTACTCAAAGAGCGGGTTGTCTTGTGGTGGTCCACCGGGTCAAAACCTGATCATGCTGGCTACGAGAAAGACGACATTGTCGGGCCGCTGGAGACGGTTGAGATGCCCGAGGTCAACAACCCGGGGACGTATTCTTCCGTCTGCATCGACTTGAGCCTACGAAACCTTGCGATCAACACCATTCTAGCGTCCTCGCTGGTGAATGACGCGGAAGGGGCCGACTCGTTCTCGTTCAACCCTGCCGCTCCTTCGGATAAGAATATCGCCGACGACGGCCACGTCATCTACAGTGACAATGCGTTCGCGACGACTGGAATCGTTGTGCTTCGCGAGATGGTGAAGGCGTGGTGGTCCGAAGCATGTCGCGACGGCGGACAGATGGCCGACGTCATGGTCCAGCACCTCGTCCGATGGGTGGAGTCGCCGGGTTCGTTCCTCTACGACCGCGCCTTGCACTACTACGTCCAGATGATGTCCCGGAAAGCGCTTCAGCAGCTCATCAGCGACTTCCGTCGGGTTGGATCACAGGTCGTGTTCGCCAGCCCTCATCGACTGCTCCTGCAGACCAGTAAGAGCGAGGTTGGCAACGCCTTTGCCTACACGCAGTATATCCTCAAGACCGTGCAGTCGAAACCGCTCTTCAGTTTTGTTCAGCTCGACATCCAAGAGTACTGGGACTACCTCGTCTGGTACGATGACTACAACTTCGGCGGCATTGGCTGCAAAGAGGTCGTCGCGGAGGCCGAACAACAATTGGAGACCGTGATGCATTGGCAACTTGCCTCTGTCCTTCCTCAGCACCTTCAAGATGTTTTCCGCGACTGGGTGATCCAGTTCATCGATCTCATGCATGGACGCAAGCGGCCCACGGTATCAGGAGAAGGGGAAAGCGAAACGCTGCGAGTCACGCAACTCCCAGTCCGAAGCTTGACCCAAGATACCGCAGTCATAACATCCGTCCTCCCCAAGTCCTTCACCAAGGCTCTCACCAAGCGAATCGCAGGCCACGTCCGTCGCCAGGTCGCCGAGCTCCTGCATCCTGACCTTGCCTCGGACTATGCCATGCCCTCCCTCCCCGGCGCCCATCTCTCCTCCGCCGCCAACAACAACCCTGTCCTCCAGCTCATCAAGTCGCTCATGCAAGTCCTCTCCCTTGACCGCGAGATCTCCCTCGAGGCGCGCATGCTCCGCAAAGAACTCCTTTCCCTCTGCGAGGTCCGCGAATTCGCCTCCGAAGCCCGCTGGCGGAACCCTAGCGCGAAATGCCCCGTCGAGATGACGTGCGAGGAGTGCGGCGCGCCGAAGTCCGTCGACCTCTGTCGGGATGCGTCGGCGCTGGTGTTCGACGTGGACGGGGACGGCGAGGGCGGGTCGCGGAGAGGCGTGCAGCCGCTTCCGAAGTGGCGGTGTGATTGCGATGCAGAGTTCGATCGGTTGCGGGTGGAGGAGTCGTTGGTGGCGGAGGTGCAGGCGATGGTGGTACGGTGGTGTACACAGGATCTCAAGTGCGCGAAGTGTGCGCGGATCCGGAAGAATGAGTTTATGGAGCATTGTGCTTGTGCTGGGGAGTGGGTGGGGACGGTGAGTAGGGAGAAGCTGGGGGAGAGAATGCGGGTGCTGAGGGAGGTGGCGCGGTGGTATGGGCTGGAGATGCTCGATGCTGCGGTGGCGGAGGCCGGCGATGGGTTCTGATTGACGGATCCCCATTCCTATGCAAATGTTCATGTCGTCATGTCTATGGAGTTACACATTCATGTCACCAGGAGGGTTGGATTGGTTGGAAATGGGAATGCATTTTGGAAGGCGTCTGGGTGTCGGTCTTACAGCTTACTTTTACGATGTACCTGCATTAGCCTACATCATACATGTACTCTTAGGCATTTCTTCATCGCGTCATTGTATCCATCGGACCTGTTGGACAAGTACAGGAAGCTTACTCTGATATCTGCGACCTCCAGCGATCTTGCAGTCTTGCAGTCTTGCAGTCACACAGTGTTCCTCGAGTTCAGTGAATTCCCAATGAGGGAGAGGGGGATGTGGATCGGCGTGAAAGGGTCAAAGGGTCCAATGAGCTGCTCTCTCCCTCACATCCCTCAGCTCTGCTGTCATACAACTTTCACTCATCCCACCTTACAAGAACTGCTAGGAAGGAATTCAAAGGTTCTTTAAGAATATTTCCGATCGTGAATCATCCCTCTCTTTGTAAACCATTCGAAGTCTGAAGGCTGGAGCATCCTCTTTTCAACACGATAACAACGTCGATCAACGTCATTGATCGGACCGGCTAAGGTCAGCTACGGATATACAACCATCATGGCGAACACTCCGATGCTCATAAACCTCCCTCCTCCGCCTTCCGACTCGCTCACTCCCTCGGAGATGGGCCCGTAAGTTCTCCTAGATCTCTCGACCGCTCCCAACATCACATGCCATCCTGAAACCTTGTACTAACCCCAACAGCGGCACCCCCACCTCCACCACCACCTCCATGTCCGAACTCAGCACTGTCGCCATCAAAGACGGCCACCGCGGCCACCTCCCCCACCACGCCTCCCAACCTGGCTCCTCCGCCCCCCTCGACGCCGAGCGCGCCGACCGCATCTCCCGCCTCGCCGGCCTCGAACGCATTTCCCAGCAACCCGCCCGCCCCCCCACCGGCTCCCTCGCCCCCTCCAACACCTCGCTCTCCGTCCAAGCCGGCAGCCCCGCGCAGTTCCCCGCCGCCACACACCCCAGCGGCGCGGGAGCGGGGCATCCACACGCGGGTCCCGGCGCTGGGCACCATGCGACCGTGGCGTTCTTCAGTAGCGCGGGCGAGCCGACCATGGTGCGCGATCGCAGCACAGTGGGAAGCGCGTCGGCGACGGGATCGGTTGGGGGGCGGACGACGTGGGCAAGTGGGAGCGACGTGGGGATGGACGACGGGGCGACGGCGACGACGGACCGGGTGAGCGAGGACGGAGGGGTGCAGATGCGGGACGAGGAGGACCTGGAGCACGAGAATGAGGGGGAGGGGAAGAGCCTGATGGGGGAGACGGCGAGTAGCGTGGGGGATTACGGGGGGGACGATCGGTTTAGCGACGGGGGGTCGTTGGTGGCGTTTGGGGAGGGGGCGCGGACGCCGGCGCGGGCGGCGAGTGGGGTGGGGAGTCCGGTGGTGGGGAAGGCGGCCGTGGTGCCGGTGCATTTGCGGGAGACGGGACAAAGCGCGCTGGGGAGGGAGGTGGCGGCGGGGAGCGAGCGGAACGAGGCGCGGTTGATCGACGGGATGACGTACGATGCGAACGTGGTCGATACGGCGGATCGCACGCCGCCGGTGGTGGGGCCGGGGGCGGAGGGGAGGAGGGGGATGACGACGACGCAGAGGGCGGAACGGGAGATTAAAGAGAGGCGAGAGCGAGGGGAGATGGAGGAGTAGATGCGTTCGGAAGCGGCAGAGTTAACGCTACGGGTGGATTTGTTTGGTAGGGGAGGTACGCCCTTCTTGACGTGGTGTTTGGTAACATTATATGTGATGTATGTCTATGGGATGTTTTCAGCGTGTTTTGGTCGGGCAAGGGACACTGTCGCATTGAAGAGCACTGTCACTGTCGTTATTGTGGGATATAAGGTTTTTGGCCATGAATCGTCTCCAGCGACTGGCGGGGCCTGTAGCAATGTTAGACGAGAGGTAAAAAACGAATATGCAGAGCGTATTATGTGGTTGGAATCATTGGGACGTGTGGTAACTTGTATGAGCCGAGATATTCCAGTTTTCCATCAATTTTGAAAAGCAATTGCGAAAGCTTCGTTTTTTAAGTAGTTCTATGCAGTCATCATAATGTCCATATGCAATCGATGGTACATCCATCCTCGCCAATGCTAGGGGTCTTCGCATTTCAACGGTGAGTGATTCAACCCTCACTTCTTCCCCTTCTTCCCCTTCGGTCCCCTCGCCGCCTCCCGCCTCCTCTCCTCCCTCTCCATCTGCTCCCTCTTCTCCTTCTCCAACTCCCTCCTCTCCTCCTCCTCCGCCCTTCTCCTCGCCCCCTCCGCCTCCCGCCTCTCCCTCACCAACCGCAACTTCTCCATCTCCAACCGTGCCTCCTCCGGCCCCTCATCCTCCTCCGAGTCTTCCCCCTTTTTCGCCGCCTTCGCCGCCTTCGCCACCTGCACCGCCTTCTTCACCGCGCCCGGCGTAGCGCCCGGCGCCTTCGCCACCTTGGACGCCTGCGCGCGCGCGCTCGTCGTGTGGTTCGGGTTCGCTGGCATGTCGGAGTCGGAGTCGTCCTCATCCTCAGAGGAGTTCGGGGGCAGGTCGCCAACTTCCGGGCGACCCGAGGAGCGGGCGGCGGCGGCAGCTTTGCGGGCCTTGGCGGCGGCGCGGCGCTCCTCGCGGGTCATGGCAGACTGGGGTTGGTCGTCGTCCTCGGAGGATTCTTCTTCGGAGGATTCCTCTTCGGAGGAGTCGTCGGAGTCTTCGGGATCTTTGCGGTCGGCGGGGTCCTAGGGATGATGTTAGTGGGTTATTGTCTTACTGGGAGGTTGAAAGGGTGGGAAGAGGAGGAGGAGGAGGAGGAGGAGGAGGAGGAGGAGGAGGAGGAGGAGGAGGAGGAGGAGGAGGAGGAGGAGATTGGTGACGATGCAGTGGCGGGGAGCGGGGGAGTCATCGGGGAATTTACATACCGCCCACATGCTGATGGCCTCGCCGTTCTTGTCGACGGGCTGAAGGTTGCGGTTGAAGTGTCGTCCGCCGCCTCGCTTGGGCTTAGAGAACTTGCCGCCGCGACCGCGTGAAGACATGGTGACGGTGGTGAGGTGTCTTGGAGGGGTAGTGTTGGAACTGTGTGGGGGGGTTCGCTAAGCGAATTGGATGAGGGGATGGCGATGTGTAGTTGTATCAGAAAAGAGGGCTGATACTTGGACAGAAGAGTAGTCCTGAAGTAAATAGGTTGGTGGAGGAGGCGAAAGGGAAGTGGTGTTGGGTGAATGGGAGAGAGAGAATAGCGGGAGTGAGTTGTCATATGTGGGTGATGTAGCAAAGTGGACTTGGAGGGGTCATCGTTGCGGGGCGAATGTTGGATTGTCACTTGGACTTGCTGGACGGTTCTCGCTGGGCAGCAATACAGTCAGGCACTTCTTGCATTAGCAGCATGCTGGTTGGCCAGAGAAAGCTGTCATCTGTCACTTGATACATATTCCCAGTTGAAGAGTGGTCTCGTGAGGGAAATTCATAGAGCATTCGAAGTCAAGGCACAGGTTGACAGTAGCAAATAGTTTCTTGTTTACAGTACTTCCTACGCAGCAAGCAGGACCGTCCAAGTTTCATATCGGGACAGGCACCAGACATCTCATTGTCTCGCCATGGCTTCATCGATTTATATTGCTTAAAGTTGAGTACGGTGCACTTTATCATATTTGCAACGGTTCATCATGTATCAGAAGCAGGTGTACCGTGTACGTGACTGTGAGAACCAAGTCATGTGACCAGCCACACGCCACACACAAGCCACTGATTCCTCATCAAGCAAGGGGATGTACCAACAACTGTTTTCCTCGCAAACCGACCGTCTCTTGACGCGACTTGTAAGGGGTAAGAGGCTGGCTTTTCTTTTCGAAAAAATTTCATCTGCCCTTCATATTCCCCTCCAGCTCCCATTGCTGCGTTTTAAAACCGAAAGACGGAGTGGATATGAAGGGGTAGTTCAGTAAAGAGAAAAGAAGAAAAGAGAGAAACTCTCTGCCAGAAGTGAAGAGTTTTGTTGGAAATCCGACGCCGGCCAATCCCGGTGACCGGTAAAACGATCCGCCGCTCATTCAAACTCAGAACTGATCACCTGACTTGAAACTTGCACCGCCTCACATACGTGGCTTGGGTTTGTTTACAGCAGAGCCCACCAAAGCTCGTCGACATCGCGACTATCAGAATGCCTTCTACAACCTCCCAAAACCTATTGGATCAAACCACAAACTCCGCCAAACGAATCTTACAATTTGGCGCCTCGATTTGGAGATCCCCACAGCGCGATAGAATCCAGATTCCTACTGAAGTAGCCGAAATGTCGATACCTGGAGCCTTCCCAGAAGCCGCTCCACCAGCGGCGGTGGTTCCAACGAAGACCGGCGAGGAGCAAAAGACTCCGGAACGAGATGTTGCCAGATATCCGAAGATTACTGTCGCCCAAAGACAGGCGCTTATTGATAATCTGCAGCTTGAAGGTAAGTCGTCTCGCATCCTAAAATACGACGGTGCTAACTGACGGTCAGTCACCGAACGAGCTCGCAAACTTCGTGCCATCTACGCGTTACATGCGCAAGGTCTCCGATCAAGACTCGAGATGCGCATCAACCGTGTACCGCAGTCCTTGAGATCCGCCAACATTGAAGAATTGGTGAACAAATACGCCAATCCGTCGCCCGTGAAACCCGCACCTCTCGGAGAGCGATCGATCACGAACCACGAGATGCCCAGGCTAGATTCCACGACCGCTCGCGCAGATAAAGAAAACAGTCCCCTCCGATCCCTCGGAAAGAAGAGACCAAGGTAAGACCGCATCCACCATCCCCTCAGAATCCGTAACTAACCTAACCCACCAACCAGCTCCGAAATGGCCGCCTCTGACAAAGAAAACACCACCCACCACAACCTCTCCCTTCCCAAAAAACGCACCAAACTCGGGCCTCCTCCCTCCACCACCAACCAACCCTCCCGCCCC